ATATAGCCTCGTTATTGTTACTTTTTATTTTATTTTATATTTTTTACTTTAGTTTATTTAGTAAATCATTTCTTAACTCTATTTCTTGAACTGCATTGTTGGTTAAGGGCTTGTAATTAAGCATTTCACGGTAAGGTCTACAACTGTTGTATTCGGCGCATGTGGCATACAATTTGACTTGATATTATACTTCAAATAAATCGTTTCAACGGTATTGAAAAACCATCCCGTGGCTATTTCCAAATACCCCGGTATACGGTATATACGGTATACCGCCCAAGCCTAGTTTCCACTGTCCTTCATCTCATAAATGCCAGCCAGCAGGCACTTCATAAAATAAATAGACTTGCCAAAGACCCATGTGAGAAAGGAGAAACATTGCCATGCTGTTACCAAAGGAAGTCTAGGGGAAAAGGGGGACGTAGAAGATGACCGCTGTTGGATCAGGATGAATGTCCATCCCAAGGTCCAGTGTGTGTGCGTGCTTGTGAGAGGTCCCGTAGCATTTACAAAAATACCCGTAAGCGTGACCTCTGCGTGTTCCCACACACTCCTTTTCCGGCTCTAATGGCAGATCAGCTCTATTTCGGGGCACTGTCAGGTTTAATCTCTCTGTCGTAGGTATCCTGGGACGAACTGGGGGGGCGGACGATGGTGACAATGACATTATGTTGGTAGCCGGAACAGATGCCCAGTTTTCCCACCACACAGGACGTGAGACATACAGACATTAGACACAAACAAGCAGCCCAAAGGTCAGTGCGGAGCAAGCTGTGTCAGCCAAGTTATATTTGTCTACTTCCCAATATATACCAATTTTAAGCCAACATGGTCTCTTTCGAATATGTCAAAATAGTGACATTTCACCATAGTAGTTCTACATAACATAAGTTGACAAATTAGTTACTGTATATGTAACTTATGGATATATTTCTTATTTGTCACTATAATGGCGTATTAGTTAGGCTATATGTCTGTTCAAATAGTGCTCTGCGATGATGTTGCTCTACAGTTGAGGGACTGAATACTACCATATCTATCTCTTCAACGCACTATAACCTTTACACATATGAGTTTCAGAAAAAGCGACTTAATTTACCAAATGCTCTTCATCAAACTCCCTGACCTAACAAAATGGATGGCTAGTGGGAGGCGGAGGGGAGTAGAGTACTGAGCCATGGAATGCACGTATCCAGAATACCAAGCGTAACACAGATGCCAAGGCCATGCTACCCTCCTCAGCAATCTAAAATCTTCAGTCTGTAAGACAGGCCATGGCCCCGGGTTACGAGTCCTGTGACCTAACTATGGAGCAACTCAACATAATTAGGGTTCATTGTCATACAAACCGTAACAGTAGGTCCCTGGGTTCAAACTTTGAATAATTATTCACGTCCAGAGCGGTGGTGTGCCAGGATCAATGTGTATCTCACAAATCTAGCCAAATAAGGAAATATTATGCTTAAACTGTATGCTGATACTGTTACTACAGTTTGCACCTATACAACATTTGCAAACATATTGCCATCATTCCAAATAATCTGAAGGGTTCTCAGTTTTGCTTATAATAAAGAATGATTATACACAAACTGGCTATCATTTCTAATGGGGCAAAAACAGTGAATTTCACATAAATCCCAAAACAAGAGCATTTGGCTCCAACAATAATATTGTGTGCATAGAACCGCATCCAAAAACAAGCTGAGTAGGGAGGGATGATGAGAAGGAATGTGTATAATGAGAGGAGGGGAGGGTGGATGAGAGAGGATGAGAGAGAAAGAGAGGAGTGAGATCAATCCAGAGAACAGCTGGGGTGGGTTGAGCAGGGTCAAGCTCAGGAGACCATCTCACAACCAAGGTCATCCTTTGATCTCCACAGGCAGAGAAAAGGCCCCTAAACTTTGGGTTGGCTGGAAGCATTCTAAACTCTGGGTTGTCTCTCTCTCTCCTTCTCCCTTTACTCTCGTTTTCTGTCCTCTGTCTCTCGCCCTCTATTTCTATCTTGATCTGTACAGCCCTCTCTCTTTCTCTCTTTCTTGTTCTTTCTACCTCCCACTCCCTCCTTTCCTCTTTGTCTATCTCTCTTTATTATCCCTCCCTGTCTCTTTCTACACATTAGACTTGGAATAGTGGAGAACAAAGTCAATCATTACCAGACAGGCCTAAAACCCCTCAGAGCTAAAGCATCCCTCTCCTCTAAACAAACTTTGAAGACTATTATTATTGCGTAGTGCAGTCGCTGAATACATTTCATTGCTTTGCGACAGTCTCAGTGAGAGAGAGCTAGAGAGAGAGATTTTTCCTCACCGTCGGCTGTGTGCACGGTGATTGATATAGTTGAGTGGCAAAACAAACAAAGCGTGACAAATCCAGATTATTGTCTGTGGGTGTGATAAGAGTCTAATGAGAAATTGCACGTTGGGGGGAAATTTATCCTTCGCAGAGAATCTGTGATTTACTGGGGATTTTAATAACTTCCTGTGTCTCCCTGGTTTAATGGTGAGACATGCAGGCAGCCAGAGGGGTTTACCCTATGGAAACAGATTCCATTAAGATGCAATATCTTTCTCAAAAGTGTATTTCCACACTTGTTAAAGGCCCATGGAGGATCATTATTTTCCATTGCTCTGCATATCAGAAATGATGATAGTGTTGCTGTGAAATAATGCAATCACGACTGAGGAACATAAAAATATAGTTTATATTGGGTAAAAAACTATGGATAATGATACAAATAATAAACAATACACAATAAAATCAATCAATGCCAGATCAACCCACATCACACATAAATCAAACACGTGCTTATGGACATCACTTAGATTGTCTGACACTGCTTTGCAATACAGCAGCACAAACCTCCAATCTGCTCAGCTCTGCAACGTGTTAAGTAAAATCTATCGCCGGAAGAGAAAATTGGACTTCAGACAGGCCACTTATTAGCCAGGGGAGTGTGGGAGGGATCTGAGAAATTAACATGGATTACTCAAGTATGACTGGCAGTTTCAGAAGGGCTTTTATGACTTACCAAGTGATTTGGGACTTCCCTGAATTCAGCGAGGGATGTTTAATACTGTGCGCTGTCTCGGCTATATCTTGGCATCAGAGCGCCTTGGCTGAGGCTGGTCGAACGGCTAGGGAGGGAGCTTTACCTGCAGCCCCGGCGGGCCAGGCCCCATTGTTCTGCTAAGAATGATGGGATTTGAAGTTCGACCAACATTCTGACAATCTATTGGCCCCAGTTGCGCTTTGGGAGAGGGAGGAGAGGGAGGCTTGCCAGGGGTGGCCCATGGTTCTCTGGCATCTGGTGCGTCTGCGGTGGGCGAGTGGGTATGGAGGCTTCACCAAAACAAAAGCCTGGGTGTCATCAGAATCCCTCACGAATAAGGGAAGTAAATCTGAGAAAATTGGTCGGACAGAATTTTCCAAATGCAACCACATTTATGTGTGGAGATGTTTTACATGGGAAGGCACTGCTGTTGCCTGCAGTCATCGGGAGGAACAATAAAAGACATGTAGAGCGATACATCCAAGAGAGAGCATGGGAGACACTGTGGTTTGCCGAGGAATAATGAAAACAGACAGAGGGGATGGAAAAGGACTGTGAGAAAGAGGAGCAGGAAAGGGCCCATACATTTTGCATGTTACCGTTTGGGTTCTGTCTCCCAGAGCCATCACCACTTCCTGATGTGGTTTCCATAATTTATAGAGCTTCTATTGGGCAATTGGAGTCCACTTTCAACCGTGCAGCCATGTTGGCTCTACACTCAGAAAAGACTAGAACAAAGAAAGATAAAGGATGAAGGGATAAAACAAGAGATTTCTTATCAGTCTGGACTTGATCTTAGTTTGTCTATATCCATGTGATTACTGAAGTCATCATCGAGCAATGCCAGTCTTAGCAAATCCTTATTCTTCTTTTAATCCCAAAATAAATCTAGAAACAACCTCACTGTGTTGATCAAGCAAAGCAAGCTGTCGTTTGATTGTTGCCTACGACACTCCAATTCGAAGAGCAAAGAGCAACAATAGGATGAAGTAGTATTGTATTTTTAATCTAATCAGTTCATTCTTCTTGCTGACATCACTTGGACATGAGATCAGAGCAGTGTGAGATCTGTTCACCTGCCAGAATGAAACAACTTGTAATGTATCTTCTTTCCTGGTCTCATATTGCATTTAGAAACGGGTATCAATGATAAGCCGTTTGAATGCATTGCATGAGAAGGACCTAATCGGCTAGGCTCATACCGCTAGGAGGATTAAATAATTTTTATCTGCTCTGCCTTTGACTTTACAAATGCTCTTGTTCACACCGTAAATCACAAAGCATCTCTATTGGGTCTCACTCAACTTTAGCGACATTTCAAAAAATTTACTTTTCTTTAAACAGCGTGGATGGGTTTACACTAAACAGACACTGAAAAACAAGGGTGTTGTTTTCATAAAATATCTCTCCTGCAAGAGAGTGTGTGTGTGTGTGAGTGTTTTGAGTTGAGCGGTGGACGGGCGCAGGCAGGACCGTTGACTGCCGCATTGCACAGAATACCTAAACCGCTGTGGTCCCCCTTCGGAGCGATTGATCATGTCCCGATCTCTGGATCAGACAAGGGGAGAGCTGACTGCTCCAATCCACATCTCATCCACATCTCATCTCACACTCAGGCTTTAGCAACACGTAGGAAAATAACTATCAGTATGGTAAAAGTTTAGTATCACCTTATTGAATTGAAATTAAACGAGCTAACGTCAGTTTGTTTGAAAATATTTAGTAACTAGTGTAGTTACTGTGTAGTTAGCTACTTGTAATGCCATTTTGAAACGTACTTTGTTTTCCTATATGGTAACTGTACAACTTAATGTACAGTATATGACCTCCATCTGCGTTTCATATATCCAATGTAATTCCCTGCGTCTGCACCACACATCTCCAGCTCTGTACTTGCCTTATCTTGGAATCACGGACTTCCTGCCCATATGGAAACCAGCTTATTTCCCTACGGCCCCTTGACATTAACTGATGATCTGTTGCTGACGTCCAGATATTTACTTCCTCCTATGGGACACGGGGTGACAATTCTATATCCTCTCACAGCAACTTGACACACCTGAGAAGAAAAGCCATAACTGGTGGCGGTGCCCGTGCCCCATCTCTCTATCTGACTAAATATGATGGAGTGGCCAAGCAGGCAATTCAGAGGCTTGTCAAAATGTCGGCCAGAGGGAACTGGAGCAAGCTGAGGACATTGAGGGAGGAATGTGTACATTGGGTTTCTGGGTTTTGTTAAATGGTGATAAGAAAGAGAAAGGAGTTCATTAGCATTATGTAGATGCTGACACTACACATTCGGGACAGGATGAGTGGTTTTGTGTGTGTGTGTATATGTGTGTGTGGGTGGGCGAGTGAGTGAATGCGTATGTGTGTGCGTGCCTGTCTTGGGGACAGTGTGAGAAGGCCAGTTAAGTCCGTCTGATACACACACACACATAAACTATGCTAGCATGCTGAGCATGTGTTGAAGGGCACCGGGGGGAGCCGCTGAGCTGTCAGAACAGGATGGATGAAGAGGCTGCCCTGCATAGCAACAGGCTCAGGGGAAATACCAGCAGCACCATGACACGACACAACACATCATGGTACACTAGGCTAAAGTTACACTGTGGCCTTCACAACACAACATGCTACACTAAGCTAACGCTAGGCAACGCTATCGCTAGGATATGCTAGTGCTGTGGCCTTCACAACACCTCTAGGCTATGCTACGCTGTGGCCTTACAGAACACAACACCACGCTACGCTAGGCTAACGCTACACTATGCTAACGCTACGCTAGTGTTGTGGCCTTCACAGGAGCTCTACTTTCTCAAGGGACCTGCAGCTAGAACATCTGAGTTTGATGTTTAGATGCATGTTGTTGAGGGATTTCTGTTTGGCAGACAGTGACACCAAAAAAAAATAAAAAATGTCAACGTGGGCAGGGTTTTGATAGAAAAAGACAGTACATTTCAATCTCTATACACGAAGAGGCACAGACTCTACTGTAGCTAACAAGGTAAAAACAACAGTCAGTACTACAGTGACTGGATTAATCAGTCTATCAAGGTCCAAGGGAAATTAGCAACAACAACAATAACAAAATGAGACTTTGCAATCAAACGTCACTGTGCAAGAGGAGACCATCAAATCACAGCAACTTATCCGAACACTTCAGATGATGACAATTTCAATTTATTAAGTTTGATGAAATACAAAGACTGATTTATAGCTGATCTCTGAAAATCTTGTCCGTTGGCACTTTTCCTTAGAATCTATAAACCATAATAGTTTCCCCCCAAGCACCTGGGAGGGGACACTTAAAGGGGAAGGTCAGTGTGATATTATCACTTTAAAGGTTTCCCATTACATCCCAGCCCCATATACGCCCATGCTTTTAATGGATAGTGGGATAGCCTATACAGTGGGCTCAGTGGAATATACGGGCAATTGTAAAAATGTCTCTATGGGGACTGTACTGTAAGGGACTATATTCTAAGGGCAGTCCATGCTGTGTCCCTGTGGATTCTAGTGTGTGAGTATTCACACTGTCAATAAAACCATCGGGGGGCCTGGTGAGGTCTCCACAGAAACCCTCTTGGCCTCAGGTTCCTATTGAAATGAACAGGGGTCTTAGTGCACCACTGCACCTGGCCTGAAAACTGCTGAGGCAGCCCACTCTCGTATTCCCTCTCCTTCACTCTCTCTCTCCCTCCTCTCTCTCCCCCCCCCTTTCTCTCTCACTCCCTCTCTGGGTCCCCTTGGCAGGTTGGCTTCAGGAAAGGCAGCTCTTAAGTAGATTTCAGAGCAGCAAAGAGGCCCGCAGTGTGAATATTAAGAGCGCTTTGGCTTCCCTAGAAGCTCCTGAAACCAACAGTCAGCGACAGCCAGGCAGGCCCTTTTTGAATAAGAGGATAGTGCTAGTGAGAGAGCTAGTGACAACGCTCACGTCGGGTGTCAGAAGTGCAATTGTACACAATCTATCAAGGAGTGGAAAGTTGAGACGGTGCAATTAATATAACTGAATCAGGACGGAGGGTTTCTCTGTGAAAATGTGTGATTTTCTTACCTGGAATGCCTGGTGGGGTTTTCAGGTATTTCCCATTGAAATGCTGTATTACCACTTCACATTTCTCAGTGGACTCCATCCTGTAGCAAAAGGAAAAGTACATTAACTGGGGGTATTAGAAATGATGAATCCATAAAACCTGCTATAAAACATACAATACATTTCACATCCACATTTACATTTTAGTCATTTAGCAGACGCTCTTATCCAGAGTTACAGTAGTGAGGGCATACACTTTTTCATACTGGTCCCCCGTGGGAATAACGTTGTGTCACACGTCGTAGCCTAGGTATCTGTTCTTTAACCAGGCAGCATACAGTGCATTCGGAACATGAACATGGTCTAAAATAATGTTTTAGGCAAAATCCACAATGCAACTAGTTCAGCATATGACAGGAGACACCGTTTCTGTATAACAATCGTGTATTCAGACTCCTTGACTTTTTCCACATTTTGTTATTACAGCCTTATTCTAAAATTAATAATATAGTTTTTCCCCCTCATCAATCTACACACAATACCCCATAATGACAAAGCAAAAACAGGTTTTTAGAAATGTTTGGATGCACCTGAGCTCAATTTCGAGACAATTTTAGAATAAGGCTGTAACGTAACAAAATGTGGAAAAAGGGAAGTTGTCTGAATACTTTCCGAATGCACTGTATTCTACTCAAGTGCCTTAGCAGAATACAACTATTACAAATGATGAAAACCTAAAGCATAACATATACTATATGTAGTACATTTAAGTATGCATGGAACATTTTCTATGTTGATCCAATGTAGATTCGAGGCCCTATGACAACACCTATTGTTTTCCTTGGCACAAGGCTGAGTGCTTACAGCATGTGGCTGAGTCATTTTATGACGAGGCAAATTGAAGATGTACACCCTTGATTTACAGTGATATCCAAATTCTCCTGGACTAACTGAGGAAAGTGAGTGGAGTGAGCACTAATAGAACATGAGAGACTGGAGAGAGTGTTGACTGTCTGTGTGTCATGTAACAGGAAGGGTGAGAGTGGTAGAGTTACTAGGGGAGTGACTCATCTCATTTACAGAGAACAAAGTCACATCATATTAAACCCTAGCCACCCTCCCTTCCTCCGCTTGACTCAGACCACTGATCAACTAAATACAGTGGGGAAAAAAAGTATTTAGTCAGCCACCAATTGTGCAAGTTCTCCCACTTAAAAAGATGAGAGAGGCCTGTAATTTTCATCATAGGTACACGTCAACTATGACAGACAAAATGAGGAAAAAAAATCCAGAAAATTACATTGTAGGATTTTTAATGAATTTATTTGCAAATTATGGTGGAAAATAAGTATTTGGTCAATAACAAAAGTTTCTCAATACTTTGTTATATACCCTTTGTTGGCAATGACACAGGTCAAACGTTTTCTGTAAGTCTTCACAAGGTTTTCACACATTGTTGCTGGTATTTTGGCCCATTCCTCCATGCAGATCTCCTCTAGAGCAGTGATGTTTTGGGGCTGTCGCTGGGCAACACAGACTTTCAACTCCCTCCAAAGATTTTCTATGGGGTTGAGATCTGGAGACTGGCTAGGCCACTCCAGGACCTTGAAATGCTTCTTACGAAGCCACTCCTTCGTTGCCCGGGCGGTGTGTTTGGGATCATTGTCATGCTGAAAGACCCAGCCACGTTTCATCTTCAATGCCCTTGCTGATGGAAGGAGGTTTTCACTCAAAATCTCACGATACATGGCCCCATTCATTCTTTCCTTTACACGGATCAATCGTCCTGGTCCCTTTGCAGAAAAACAGCCCCAAAGCATGATGTTTCCACCCCCATGCTTCACAGTAGGTATGGTGTTCTTTGGATGCAACTCAGCATTCTTTGTCCTCCAAACACGACGAGTTGAGTTTTTACCAAAAAGTTATATTTTGGTTTCATCTGACCATATGACATTCTCCCAATCCTCTTCTGGATCATCCAAATGCACTCTAGCAAACTTCAGACGGGCCTGGACATGTACGGGCTTAAGCAGGGGGACACGTCTGGCACTGCAGGATTTGAGTCCCTGGCGGCGTAGTGTGTTACTGATGGTAGGCTTTGTTACTTTGGTCCCAGCTCTCTGCAGGTCATTCACTAGGTCCCCCCGTGTGGTTCTGGGATTTTTGCTCACCGTTCTTGTGATCATTTTGACCCCACGGGGTGAGATCTTGCATGGAGCCCCAGATCGAGGGAGATTATCAGTGGTCTTGTATGTCTTCCATTTCCTAATAATTGCTCCCACAGTTGATTTCTTCAAACCAAGCTGCTTACCTACCTTGCAGATTCAGTCTTCCCAGCCTGGTGCAGGTCTACAATTTTGTTTCTGGTGTCCTTTGACAGCTCTTTGGTCTTGGCCATAGTGGAGTTTGGAGTGTGACTGTTTGAGGTTGTGGACAGGTGTCTTTTATACTGATAACAAGTTCAAACAGGTGCCATTAATACAGGTAACGAGTGGAGGACAGAGGAGCCTCTTAAAGAAGAAGTTACAGGTCTGTGAGAGCCAGAAATCTTGCTTGTTTGTAGGTGACCAAATACTTATTTTCCACCATAATTTGCAAATAAATTCATAAAAAATCCTACAATGTGATTTTCTGGATTTTTTTTCCTCAATTTCTCTGTCATAGTTGACGTGTACCTATGATGAAAATTACAGGCCTCTCTCATCTTTTTAAGTGGGAGAACTTGCACAATTGGTGGCTGACTAAATACTTTTTTTCCCCACTGTATGTACGTACCAGTAAGGTGTCTATGATCTATAACTCACTCTATATCACTTACTAGCTGTCCCCTCTCTCATCCTCCCTTCTTTACTTTCTATCTTGCTCTCTCTCCCTTTCACCCCCTTTTTCCATACCGATCTACCTCTCTTCTTTACCCTCCATCTTTTTCATATGCCTTATCCATTTCTTTCTGTCATCCATCTCTTTTCTCTCCCCCCCCCCCCTTACCTATTTTTTACTCTCCATCTTTCTCACCGGTCTTTATCCCTGTTACCCTCTCCCCCACTCTCTCTCTCTCTGGCAGTGGGTCCTGTAGTGTAAGTGGATCAGGTCCCTGTGTCACATTGTGGCAGGATGAGTCAACGGAGCCCTTTTCAGAGTGACTGGCCTTGAATGGCCTGCCATGCACACATTCACCTACTGCTGCAGCCAGTGATCCAATGGGGCGCATGCGTCCCAGACACACACACACTAACACAATTACACACACTTTCAGTGCGGCCCCTCCATCCTGCTATTCACAATGCTAGAGAGGCCCCAGATGAGAGGAGAGAATCTGCATAGAGCAGAGGTAACCTCTCTCTTTTACGCAATTCTAAATAAACCCATCGCCCTACCGTAGGCACTGTGTGGATCTGGAAGGACTCTGTACTAACTATATGCAATATGGTAATGAACTTCTGTCACAAGCGAAACTAGGGATTGATTTGTAATTTGGAAAATGTATCCCTCCTGTGAGCAGTTGGATCAGACCCATCCAGGCTGACAACTAGTCTTTACCTACCTACTCTGTTTCTCTCCATCTCATCCTCTTTCTCTACCTCTCTCCATTCTCTTCTCCCTCACTATACACATCTCCCTCCCTCTATTGCAACCGTCTCTCTCTTTTACTATACATCTCTCTCTCTCTCTCTCTCTCTCTCTCTCTCCTCTCTCTCTCTCTCTTCTCTCTCTCTCTCTCTCTCTCTCTCTCTTCTCTCTCTCTCTCTATCCTCTCTCTCTCTCTCTCTCTCTCTCTCTCTCTCTCTCTCTCTCTCTCTCTGTTCTACCCTTCTTCCCCCCTTCATCTCTCTCAGGTCTGATGAGCCCCTGGCAGCCACCCATCCTCTTCCTGGCTGCTCTGTCTCTGCTCTGTGTGAAGCAGGGAGTCCTGCATGATGGTTAATGACATCAGGTGATCTTGTCCACAGTGATTAGCGGCGAAGCCCCCAGTAATGGGCTCTGATAACAGTTATGGAGGAGTGCAGAAACACTTAGCAAGGTTTACTCTCTCAAATGCCCCTCTGTCCCTCAACATCTGTGGACTAGAGGCTGGGGCCTTCTGTCTCAACACCCAATGAGTCTAAAATGGATGGGACTGTATGTGACTATTTAGTGCACTGCTTTTGACTAGAGCCCAGGGAATATATGCACTATATAGGGGATAGGGTACCATTTCGGACACACCCTTGCCTCTCTCTTTCTCCTGCTGTTTTGCTATCTCTCTGTCTATTTAATTCTCTCTTGCTCACTCCCTCTTTCTTCTCTCCCACTCTATTGTCTTCCTCATTGTCTCTCTCAGAACAGCATCCCTTGGCATCTTTCTTTTTATTGCTCTCTTTTGTCTCTCCCTCTCCACTCCTCTTTCCTTCACCTCTCTCCTTTTCCCTTCTCCCTTCTCCCCATCATATTACTTACCCACTCAGCCCCATTTGAACAGGTGGCCTATCACAGCCATGCACTGTGCTGTGGTGTTGCTGTGTGTGTGTGTGTGTGTGTGTGTGTGTGTGTGTGTGTGTGTGTATGTTCATGCATGCGAATGTCCATGTTAGTCTGTAGGAGTCTGCCTACCTGTCCTTCTGTAACCTGCTATAATAGAGTGGGGAATAGGAGTGGACTGCTGCACGGGCTGAATAAAATAAATCCCTGCAAGATGGTGTTGTTGTTCTCATCAACACCATCCTCTGGGTAAACAAGCCGAAAGTGTTGTGTTGTGGGGAGAGAAATGAGAGCAGTGTGGAGGATGAGGAGGACGTACATGACTTTGAAGGGATAAGAGGGTAAACTCTCAAGTTTTACAGGAGGAAAATATAGCCTCAAACAGCTGGGTGATATGCAGACAGAAGTATGTACAACGTGTGTGTGTATGTGTGTGTCTTTTTCTCTCTCACACACGCATGCAAACCCGCAGGCTGGCAGGCACTACCCTTCTGGCTTCATAACACTTGTCAATGGAGTTTGTGTGTTCCAGCAGGTATACCTGGCGAAGCCGACCCCTCTGCTGACCCCGTTGGCGTCCCTCAGTATCCGCGTGGAGATGACGTGACCAAAGGGCTTCAGCATGTTCTCCAGCTCCTGCTCATCCATGGTTACAGGCAGGTTGGAGATGTACAGGTTAGTAGGGTCCTGCTCCTGTTGCTGTGGAGGGAGAGAGAGATTCAGAAAGCTATATTGTCTCAACATTTGGTAATTTGGTGTAAGAACGATACACAAGAACAGATACATAGTGAGAGAGAGAGAGAGCGCGAGAGAGAGAGAATGTGTGTTAGAAATTATGTATCAGTTATGCTTTAAATATGTATAACCAGTGTCTTGCGAGCTGTCACGAAACACAACTTTCATCACAGGCAATTCTGTGTGAACTCAGATACAGCTTGGCCTCTGCGATGATGACAATCACATTCCTACATACAGTTAGAGCACGCTTTTTAACTATGCTTGTCTATGTACGCAGTGTGTGTGTGCGATGGAATTTGTGTATGTGGGTAATACTGTGTGTGCCAGCATGTGTACGAGTAACCTATGCATACCAGCGTGTGTGTATGCCAGGGAATGTAGGATAGGATGAACTTTAATGTCCCAGAGGGGAAAATTTATTTAGACACTATACCTTACACATTCAACATAATACATACAGTGCCTTCAGAAAGTATTCACACCCCTTTACGTTTTCTAGATTTTGTTGTGTTACAGCCTGAATTTAAAATTGATTAAATCGAGATTTTGGGTCACTGATCTACACACAATACCCCATAATGTCAAAGTGGAAATTTGTTTGTAGAACATTAAAGAAATTAATGAAAAATGTAAAGCTGAAATGTCTTGAGTCAATAAAGTATTCAACCCCTTTGTTATGGCAAGCCTAAATAAGCTCATGAGTAAAAATGTGCTTAACAAATCGCATAATAAGTTGCATGGACTCATTAATTGTTCAATAATAGTGGTTAACATGATTTTTGAATGACTACCCCATCTCTTTACCCCACACATACAATTATCTCTAAGGTCCCTCAATCGAGTAGTGAATTTCAAGCACATATTCAACCACAAAGACCACAGAGGTTTTTCAATTCCTCGCAAAGAATGGCACCGATTGGCAGATGTGTAAAAATGTAAAAAGCAGAAGCTGAATATCCGTTTGAGCATGGTGAAGTTATTAATTACACTTTAGCTGGTGTGTCAAAACACCCAGTTACTACAAAGATACAGGTGTCCTTCCTAACTCAGTTGCCGGAGAGGAAAGAAACTGCTTAGGGATTTCACCATGAGGCCAATAGTAATTTTAAAACAGTTACAATACTAACCTAAATGACAGAGTGAAAAGAAGGAAGCCTGTACAGAATCAAAATATTCCAAAACATGCATCCTGTTCGCAACAAGGCACGTTAGTAATACTGCAAAAACTGTGGCAAAGAAATTAACTTTTTGTCCTGAAAACAAAGTGTTATGTTTGGGGCAAATCCAACACAACACATCACTGAGTACCACTCTTCATATTTTCAAGCATGGTGGTGGCTGCATCATGTTATGGGTATGCTTGTCATCGCCATGGACTAGGGAGATTTTTAGGATAAAAACAAACGGAATACAGCTATAAGCACAGGCAAAATCCTAGAGGAAAACCTGGTTCAGTCTGCTTTCCAACAGACACTGGGAGACGAATTCACCTTTCAGCAGGACAATAACCTAAAACACAAGGCCAAATCAACACGGGAGTTGCTTACCAAGATGACATTAAATGTTCCTGAGTGGCCTTGTTACAGTTTTGACTTAACCTTTTACTGCAGTAGACTAAATCAGGGTCACACAGAGTGATTCTTGATAGTCTTAAACAAATCTACTTTCAAACAAAAGTATACACCTCACACACATGGTTATGGGCTTAAAAAAGGAAGACACCTGTACCATGTCAGATATAGAGTTGAAATGTATTCAATTTTGAGTTTGTATCCCAATATTCAACTTGATATACATCACAGAAGACTGAAATATAACAAAACTGTTTGACATAGAAACACCAGATTTTCGTTGTAAAAAAATAAATACGTCTTAATTTCATAATTAATAATGAAAATATTAATAACATTCCCCCCATGAGGCCAAAGAGGACGCGTTTGGTCATTGACTGCAGGAAAGGGATACATCGGCTTGTAAATCTATGGCAACACTTGAAAATTGCTGTCTAGCAATCATCAACAATCAACTTGACAGAGCTTAAAGGATTTTAAAAACAGTAATGGGCAAATATTGGACAATCCAGGTGTGTAAAGCTCTTAGATACTTATCCAAAAAGACTCACAGCTGTAATCCCTGCCAAAGTTGCTTCTACAAAGTATTGACTCAGGGGTGTGAATACTTACAGTATGTAAATGAGATATTTCACTTTGTCATTATCAGGTATTGTTGGTAATCCATTTAGAATTCAGGCTGTAACACAACAAAATGTGGAATAAGTCAAGGAGTATGAATAGTTTGTGCATGTACACATATATAGGTGTGTGTGTATGTATGCCAACTTGTGTGTGTGGTATTTCTATGTCAGCGTTTGTGTTTACCGGTGTGTTTCTGAATATCAGTGAGTGTGTATGTGTTCACTAACTTGTGTGTGTATGTTTACACTAATGTGTGGTCTGTAGCGCCCGAGGGTTCTAGCTAGTGGGGGCAAAGCTGGCGGGGAGAGCCAGGGAGAGAGGGTGGCAGCAGGCCAGCAGCGTCTCTCCAATATGGCCAGTCTGGACAACCACCAGCACATCTCATCACACCCTTTAGCCCACCGTAACCAGGGCCAAGCAGCCATGGCAAGGCTTACATTTTAACAGCAGCGTCTTCTATTCTCCTGAATGGGAGCAAGCTGTGCTGTGGTATAGCTAGCAGGCTAACTAGCAGCCCTGAGGGCTAACACCTAGACATGATACTTCACTTTAGCCACAGAGAATAATGACCAGCCAAGGAATTAACTTTACCAGCAGCCTCTTTTCATTACCCTAATAGGAGCAAGCTGTGTTGTGCTGCTAGCAGGCTAACACAGGCTAGTAGCCCTGAGGGCTAACACCTATACATTTACATTTTAGTCATTTAGCAGACGCTCTTATCCAGATTGACCTACAGGAGCAAGTAGGGTTAATTGTCTTGCTCATGGGCACATCGGCAGAGTTTTCACCTAGTTTGCTTGGGGGATTCGAACCAGCGACCTTTCGGTTAATGGCCCAACGCTCTTAACCGTTAGGCTACCTGCCGCCCAATACATGGTACTTCACTTTGCCACAGAGAGGAATGACAAAACCCGACCCAGACATCAACAGACATGACCGCTTCAAAATGGCCTTGTAGAGGGAACAAACTGTGACTGATGAGGTTTGTAAAAATGTCCTGTGTAGATGTTTAGCCACTCCTCAGTACTTCTTCCCTGTCCCTTTTTAGCTTCTTCCCTCTCTCTTTTTCTTTTCCCTCTCTCTTTTTGCTTCCTCCCTCTTTTTTGTTATCAATAGAGAGCAGAGGAAGTATCTCGGCTGTCTTGTTCCATCCGACCGTCGATCCTTTCTCTGATTAATTAAGTGTCTTATCGAACAGGACATGGAGGATCTGATTAAAGCCCATCATGGACAAAACCCATACTGGAAAAACAGGAAAACATTGGTCTTCTTCTAACCAGGAACTCAATTTGCAGACTTCAGCACAAATAACAAGGTCTTGTTATTTTGGTGGTTTAACACCATCCTGTCCATGCTAAAGTATGTTTTACATTGTTTCCAGTGTATTCATGAGTTATTGGGGGGTGCAACTTAATGTAGGTAGTACAAAAAGGGCTTCCAACTCTTAATTAAAAGAGACTTCTATACCATTCTATTCAATTACAGCCCATTGATTTCCAGAGGGCCAGTATTCAGAATGATATCAGATATGCTAATATTAAGGCAGTTGCTGATTCACATAGTTAGACATGCACATGCTCAGCTGTCGGGCCGTAAATGAAACAGTAATTGAGGCGAGTGTGTGTGTGTGTGTATATGTTTGTCTAAGTGCATGTCATAGTGTGTGTGTGTACCAGTGTATGTGTGCATGTGCAAGGGTATGAGTGTGAGCGGGTGTGTGTTTGCATGTCTAAGTGTGTGAGTGTGTGTGAGAGTCGTTGCATGCCGGGGCCTAGGCGAAGCATCCCCTTGCCATTGAGCTGTGCTATAGAAGGTTAATGGAACGCCTGCAGGCTGTGAGGGCTCTTTCATGGGGATGACGGATGGCACGCCGCACCCGAGCCGACAGCCTCTCTCATATTAAGGGTCTGCTCTGTTTACCTCAGTGTAATTTCAATGAATATTACCTCATTATAGAGCAGGAAGAGAGAACAAGAAAGAGGGAGGGGGAGAGAGAGAGAGAGAGAGGATGAGCTCTGACATGACATGGAGAGAGATATGACACATAAAAGAAAGCCCTTGTTGCCTTTGCAGAGTACTTAAAGATAAGGCCATTAACAGTGCTCACGATCTGCCTCCAGGCAATCCAGGTTATATTCATTGAAATGATAAAAGTGAGAAGAGACAGACAGACAGACAGATGTGTGTCTTGACTAGGGGCACTGTATTTGACACTACACCGGTCCTCTGATTCGTCCTCAGAGCGGCGGAAATTAAAGACAAAGACTATAGTGTTTTGAAGCAAATTTTTGAGATTTTTTTTTCTATTGATAATGTTAAATTAACAGCCATACAGAAAGACTCATGTGAAGGTGAAATTACAGAGGAGGAACTTCTGGATGCAATTAAAGACTTTAAGTCCGGGAAAACTCCAGGGTTGGATGGCATACCTGTCGAGGTATACCAAACCTTTTTTGATATACTCAGAGGACCGTTATTAGCATGTTTTAACCACTCCTATGTAAATGGTAGATTATCAGACACTCAAGAAGAAGGCCTGATTTCATTATTACTGAAACAGGATACAAGTGGAAAATATAAAGATCCAGTCCATTTAAAAAATTGGCGGCCCCTTACACTTCAGTGTTGTGATGCAAAAATTCTAGCAAAATGTATAGCGCATAGAATTAAAAAGGTATTGTCGGACATTATTCATTCTAATCAGACAGGTTTTTTTTACATGGGCGATACATTGGAGATAATATAAGGCAAGTACTGGAAACAATAGAACACTATGAAAAATCTGGGAAGCCAGGCCTGCTATTCATAGCATACTTCGAAAAGGCATTTGATAAAGTATGACTGGGGTTTATATATAAATGCCTGGAGCATTTCAATTTTGGACAATCTCTTATAAATTGGGTTAAAATCATGTATAGTAACCCTAGGTGTAAAATAGTAAATAATGCCTATTTCTCAGAAAGTTTTAAACTGTCAAGAGGAGTGAAACAAGGTTGTCCACTATCGGCATATCTATTTATTATTGCCATCGAGATGTTAGCTATTAAAATCAGATCCAAAAATAATAAAGGGATTAGAAATCCAGGGCTTAAAAACAAAGGTGTCATTGTACGCTGATGATTCATGTTTTCTTTTAAATCCACAACTTGAATCCCTCCACAGCCTCATAGAGGATCTAGATACATTTTCTAACCTCTCTGGATTGCAACCAAATTATGATAAATGTACTATATTACGTATTGGATCACAAAAAAAATACACATTTTACATTACCATGTAGTTTACCAATAAAATGGTCTGATGGTGATGTGGATATACTCGGAATACATATCCCAAATGAAATAAATGATCTCACTCCAAAAAAATGTAATAGAAAGTTAAAATAGATAAGATCTTGCTACCATGGAAAGGTAAATACCTGTCAATTTGTTGAAAAATCACACTTTTTTTGTTGAAAAAAACTCTTTAGTATTATCCCAGTTTACCTATTTGCTTATGGTCTTGCCTACGCCTAGCGAACAGTTTTTTAAATTATATGAGAAAAAAATATTCAATTTTATTTGGAACGGCAAGCCAGACAAAATTAAACGGGCCTATTTATATAATGAATATGAATTAGGAGGACAGAAATGATTAAATATTAAAGCATTCGACCTATCACTAAAAGTTTCAGTCATACAAAAACTATACTTACAGTGGTGTGAAAATTGTGTTTGCCCCCTTCCTGATTTCTTATTTGTTTGCATGTTTGTCACACTTAAATGTTTCAGATCATCAAACAAATTTTAATATTAGTCAAAGATAACACAAGTAAACACAAAATGCAGTTTTGAAATGAAGGTTGTTATTATTAAGGGAAAACAAAATCCAAACCCACATGGCCCTGTGTGAAAAAGTGATTTCCCCCTACAACCTAATAACTGGTTGGGCCACCCTTAGCAGCAACAACTGCAATCAAGAGTTTGCGATAACTTGCAATGAGTCTTTTACAGCGCTGTGGAGGAATTTTGGCCCACTCATCTTTGCAGAATAGTTGTAATTCAGCCACATTGGAGGGTTTTCCATCTCAATAGGATTCAGGTCAGGACTTTGACTAGGCCACTCCAAAGTCTTCATTTTGATTTTGATTCAGCCATTCAGAGGTGGACTTGCTGGTGTGTTTTGGATCATTGTCCTGCTGCAGAACCCAAGTTCGCTTCAGCTTGAGGTCACGAACAGATGGCCGGACATTCTCCTTCAGGATTTTTTGGTAGACAGCAGAATTCATGGTTCCATTCATCACAGCAAGTCTTCCAGGTCCTGAAGCAGCAAAACAGGCCCAGACCATCACACTATGACCACCATATTTTACTGTTGGTATGATGTTCTTTTTCTGAAATGCGGTGTTACTTTTACGCCAGATGTAGTGGGACACACCTTCCAAAAAGTTCAACTTTTGTCTCGTCAGTCCACAGAGTATTTTCCCAAAGGTCTTGGGGATCATCAATATGTTTTCTGGCAAAAATGAGACAAGCCTTAATGTTATTTTTGCTCAGCAGTGGTTTTCGTCTTGTAACTCTGCCATGCAGGCCATTTTTGCCCAGTCTCTTTCTTATGGTGGAGTCATGAGCACTGACCTTAACTGAGGCAAGTGAGGCCTGCAGCTCTTTGGATGTTGTTGTGGGGTCTTTTGTGACCTCTTGGATGAGTCGTCGCTGCGCTCTTGGGGTAATTTTGGTCGGCCGGCCACTCCTGGGAAGGTTCACCACTGTTCCATGTTTTCGCCATTTGTGGATAATGGCTCTCACTGTGGTTCGCTGGAGTCCCAAAGCTTTAGAAATGGCTTTATAACCTTTTCCAGACTGATGGATCTCAATTACTTTCTTTCTCATTTGTTCCTGCATTTCTTTGGATCTCGTCATGATGTCTAGCTTTTGAGGATCTTTTGGTCTACTTCACTTTGTCAGGCAGGTCCTATTTAAGTGATTCCTTGATTGATAACAGGTGTGGCAGTAATCAGGCCTGGGTGTGGCTAGAGGAATTGAACTCAGGTGTGATAAACCACAGTTGAGTTGTGTTATAACGGGGGGGGCAAACACTTTTTCACACACGGCCATGTAGGTTTGGATTTTGTTTTCCCTTAATAATAGCAACCTTCATTTCAAAACTGCATTTTGTGTTTACTTGTGTTATCTTTGACTAATATTAAAATTTGTTTGATGATCTGAAACTTTTAAGTGTGACAAACATGCAAACAAATAAGAAATCAGGAAGGGGGCAAACACTTTTTCACACCACTGTAAATCCGAACTGGTTCTCTAGCAAACTAGTAAGATTGTCTCACCCAATGTTCAAGAAAATACTTTTTCCCTTTATTCAGATTACAACCCCTCACTTTCAGGTATTTGAAAAGGAAATAATCTCCCAAATATCACTATTTCTAAAACAAGCCATAGAAAGTTGGTTGCAATTTCAATGTAATCCTCCAGAAATATTGCAACAAATATTGTGGTTAAACTCAAATATACTGCAGCATTACCGCAAAAATGGAAGAGGAAAGTGGAAGGAGGAAAAAGTAAGGAACTTGTCTGTCGGCCTTGCATTAAATACCATTATTGGTTAAAGAAAATTGTGATAAATAAAAAAGTTTACCAGTTTCATTTAAGGACCAAAAGATTGACAGCCGTCCCATATAGATTGCAAAATAGTTGGGAAGAGATTTTTGACGTATGACTGATACGCAAAACGACGCCGGATTCAAAACTTTCAATTTCAATTATTAAATAAAATTCTTGCTACCAATAGAATGTTATTTGTATGGGGGATCAGCTCTGCAGATTTGGCTGTGAAGAGACAGAATCATTAGATCATTTGTTTTGGTACTGTCCATTTGTAGCTTGTTTCTGGACACAGGTCCAGGAATGGCTGAAGGATTGCAATATTTGCATGGAGCTGACCCTGCAGATAGCACTACTGGGTGATCTGAAAAGTCATAGTCAATCGATCAATAATATAATAATACTTTTAGCAAAGATGTTTATTTTCAATTCACAAACTGTAGAAACAATGAGAATAGAAAGGTTCAGAACTTTTGTAAAACATCACAGTACAGTTGAAAAATATGGCAAATAGGAATCCAATATGGATGGTGTTAAGAGATAGATGGGAGGTGTTGAATGGAGCTTAAGGATGGGACTAATAACAACAACTAATAACAACAAGATAACTAGTGTAAGACATGCTGTGTCCATAATAAGTATATAGGTTATATATTGTGAGCTTTTGTGAAATAGCACAGTTAGAAAGATATGGCATATAGAAGCATACCAGATGGACATCATGAAAATGATCAGAGGACGTTCAGGAGTAAAAACAAACAAAATATAATTAGTGACTGTGTCCATAAAATGTATACAATATGTATAAGCATGAAGTAGAGGCCTAAACATTGTTGTTCACTAGTTTACTCCAATTAGGGAGGGGATGGTGGGGTTGGAAAGTAATAAAGGGAAATATATATATTGTTAAAGGATATGTATGTATGTATATATGTATGTATATATATATATATATATATATGTGTGTATGTATGTGTATATATATATGTATATATGCGAGGAAAAAAAGAAGAAAAAAAACATATGGGGGATTGGAAGTGATGCAGACAATTACATTGATGGAAGTTACAATCTATCTGCAATATTAAAGCTGATCTACCCCCTAAAAAAAAAGGGGGGAAAGCTACAGTAGAATGTGTTCTAAGTGCTCATTGTGGAACCCCAGGTCTGTGGTACCTGTTTAAAAGCTCCACCCACCAGGTGGGGAATGATATAGAGAGGGAGACAGGGGAGAAAGAGAGAGGCAAAGGGGGAGACGGGAGAGAGGGAGAGTCGTGTGAGAAAGCGGACAAATCCATCCCCTCAGCTCAAAAGAAGCCCCGGGTTTAATTGTCGGGAGTCAGAAGCAGCTGGAGACAAAAAGGCAGTGGTACAAATAACAGGCTCTTTGATGAGCCCCCTTCTACTCCCAGAGATAGGCTCCCCCCCAGACCCCCGAATGTTGGGATCAAGCCACCTGCCTTTGAAGGGTCTGTTGTCAAGCACGTCCAAGCCGCCACTCTCCCTCTGTCTGCCCGCTGCACTGTCCCCACTTTTGACAGCCACATAGAGGGGACAGTAAGAGGGTGAAGGGGGGATGAGGGATACAGAGCTACATATGTTAAGTGTGTGTGTGAGGGGATTTAGGTCCTAAAGAGGGCGCTATGGAATTCTGTGAGCATGTGAGAGTACAGATACACTCCCCCCACCCATGTATCAATGCACTGAGAGAGAGAGAGAGAGAGAGAGAGAGAGAGAGAGAGAGAGAGAGAGAGAGAGAGAGAGAGAGAGAGAGAGAGAGAGAGAGAGAGAGAGAGAGAGAGAGAGAGAGAGAGAGAGAGAGAGAGAGAGAGAGAGAGAGGTCCTTATGCTCCACACTAGGCTAACAAAATCCACATTCCAAATTCATGCAAAGAGATGAGAAGCAGAAGATTTGTGCTGTCCCCAAGTCGGCCATTTCCTTTCAATTAAGGCACAATAAACACAAACAGCTCCTAAACTGCCTGCCTGATATTAAGCCATAACTGTAAGACAATAACACAGCCTATGATCTGACATACAACACAATTGATCCATTAACTGCTTGTGCCATTATGTCAATGTAATGTACTATAATTACATTTGGACGCAGTAAAAAGCGCCACCTTTTCATTCACCTCAATGATAGTTTGTTTCATTCTGCTACAGCCACCCAGGACAAATCCACTACTCCACTCTGCCACAAAACCTATCCTAAAATCAGCATATGATGCCACGGTACGTAGTCTAATACATCACATTAATTCCGACCTAGCGTTCTTTCCCTTCCTGCAACAATCTATGTCAACGACAGCTGAGGGGGCCGACCACCCCCGCCGAGGCACCAAGGTGTTTAGTTGAGTGTACCTTAACACTTATTCACACTCTTTAATTACATTAACCCACACAGTACCACCACAGCACCGTCCCCCTTGACACATGCATATGAATATGGTTTATTGGCACTTATGGAAAATAGGTAGCTGGTAGCTGGTAATATTATATATTATAATCTGCTGAAGATCCGCACGCCGTCAGCAAGTCAGGCAGCATGGGCTTTGTTTTAGGCTAAGAGGCATCATCCAGGCGGGAGGTGGGCTGGGTTGGCATCCTGGGTTGGGTGGTGAAATATTCATTGGGCAGAGAGAGTTTGGGGTGGCAAACAGGGTGTTGGAATATGTCACGGCGTGTCATGCGGTTGTGCTGCATGTAAGTAAAAAAAAGCAAACATACACACACGTACAAACACTGAAAATAAGCCTGCAAATTGTCTCAACAATGGTTAGAAATAGCTGAAAAAATGAACATATAAAAAGGGAATGGCTACAAGAAATGCCATATCATTAGCAATCTATGTTTAATGTGAACATCTAAGAATATTAGTTCACATCAACATACATTGAAACATATCTTAATCTATAAATGAACCTTTACATTAGCAGTATGACAACTATATTAACCAGATGAAGGGAACCTATAGACTTACTACCTCTCTCTCTCTCCCTCCCTCCTTCATTTTCTCGTTTTCACAGGCATGTACGTGGGAGAAGATCACACCTTTTCCCAGCAAAACAGACATAACACCTCTAAATCACGGCAGCCATCAGTGACATGCCTCATACATTTTGATGAAGGGTTAATGTGAATTTAAATGGGTCGATATGTGCTTCACCCGCGCTTAATCACAGCCACTGATTTGATTTTGTATCTCCCTCGGTGAGCTAATATTCCAGAGATTAAAATTTCATGTGGAGCTCATATCAAAAATCCATTATTAACATGGAAGAAAATGGGCACCGGGTGCTGGATGGCCTTACCCCTCTTCCTTAAGCACAGACACACAGGCTAGGACTTAAAAAGGCAGACAAAATACATTTTTATTTGATCAAATCCCAGGTTGGTCTCATTAAGTCCTATTATGTCCACAATCATGATGTTTCCTCATCTCCCAAAATTGAATAACATCACTAATCTCTCCCCCATTGCCATAATGTGTTTACAGTATTTCCCCCCATGACAGTGTTGCTACAACAGCTCATTGTGTTCTTGGTAAATGCATTTCTCCTTCTCAGGTCTAATGCATCATTTATGATATCATTTTGGGATATTGAATTCCTCTTCGTTGACATAATTTGGCAGGCGGTCATTTGTTTAGACTCGTTTAGGGCGTGTTGCTAGTTGGTGTTTGATTCCTGTGTTGACCAGGAGGGGACCTCTCCTACGACATGCCGTCAGGAGCCATGACTGTAAATTATAGATGATTCACTCAGAGAGGGCACCTGTCTCGGCCTAGATAACCTAGCCAGCTCGGATTCTCATTCTCACTTTATTCCTCCATCTCACCATCCCTTCTATTCAGCTCAGAAAGCCTCATCTTCAACAAAGGAGCAGAGATTGTAGTGATGTATCTTTTCCTACATTGACAGTATGATCCAGGCATTCCAGTTCATGGTAATCAAAATGTGTTGATACTGTGTAAAATGGGGTCTTCATATTTAAGCGTATAAATATCTATTGATATAAATGTTTATTTTATCTCACAGATCAGGGAAGATTGAGATGCTCTGTTGCCTTGAGTATCAAATGGCTACAACACCCTTCCTGTTTTCAAGATACTACACTGAAGAAAAATATAAACACAACATGTAAAGTGTTGGTCCCATGTTTCATGAGCTGAAATGAAAGATCCCAGAAATGTTCCATACGCACAAAAAGCTTATTTCTCTCAAATGTTGTCCACCAATTTGTTTACATCCCTGTTAGTGAGCATTTCTCATTTTCCAAGACAATCCATCCACCTGACAGGTGTGGCATATCAAGATGCTGATTAAACACGATGATCATTACACAGGTGCACCTTGTGCTGGGGACAATAAAAGACCACTCTAAAATGTGCAGTTTTGTCACACAACACAATGCCACAGATGTCTCAAGTTTTGAGAGAGCGTGCAATTGGCATGCTGACTGCAGGAATGTCCACCAGAGCCGTTGCCAGAAAATGTAATGTTAATTTCTCTACCATTGGCAGTACGTCCAACCGGGCCTCACAACCGCACACCACGTGTATGGCATCGTGTGGGACAGCGGTTTACTGATGTCAACGTTGTGAACAGAATGCCCCATGGTGGTGGTGAGGTTATGGTATGGGCAGGCATAAGCTACAGACAACGAACACAACTGCATTTTATCAATGGCAAATTCGAATCCACAAAGATACTGTGACGAGATCCTGAGGCCCATTGTCGTGCCATTCATCCGCCGTCATCAACTCATGTTTCAGCATGATAATGCACGGCCCCATGTCGCAAGGATCTGTACACAATTCCTGGAAGCTGAAAATGTCCCAGTTCTTCCATGGCCTGCAAATTCACTGGACATGACACCCATTGAGCATGTTTGGGATGCTCTGGATCGACATGTACGACAGCGTGTTCTAGTTCCCGCCAATATCCAGCAACTTTGCACAGCCATTGAAGAGGAGTGGTACAACATTCCACAGGCCACAATCAACAGCCTGATGAACTCTATGCGAAGGAGATGTGTCGCACTGCATGAGGCAAATGGTGGTCACACCAGAAAATGACAGGTTTTCTGATCCACGCCCCTACCTTTTTTTGTGTGTTCGTGCCGTGAAAGGAGGGGTTTATTCTTTGTCTGAAAGCAATGGCTAGCTAGTATGCTAACTATTCTAGCTAACTAACTGGCTGAATAAGTTGACGACGGACTCGCTCAAGCTGTCGGGACTAACCCACAACGTTAGACACGGACACGAATGATCTGCTTGGCGTGTTGACACACTGGTGGTTTGTTGTGGCCGAGTATTGGTGCTAAACCGTGTTGTTGGAGTCCGGCATGCTAGCTGGCTGTGGCGTCTTATGACTAGGTGCCCTGGACGATTTTCACGGGAGGAATACTGTACCAAGTTAGCTTGCTGAATAAACTAAGTTAGTCTATTCCTAGAAAACATTGAACCACTGTAGTTTACAACATTTATAGTTTCTGAGGTGGAAGTTGGGAGAGTTATATTTGGGCGTTGTGGTGAGGGAGGCCCCGCTCTCTCCTTTCCCAGATGTTTAGTTCATTTCATTCCGATCTCCTTTGCATTATTGTAGCCATTTTCTGTAGCCTGTCAACTATGCCTCTGTCTATCCCTGTTCTCTCCTCTCCGCACAGGCTATACAAACGCCTCACACCGCATGGCTGCTGCCTCTCTAACCTGGTGGTCCCTGCACGCACCACCCACGTGGAGTTCCAGGTCTCAGGCAGCCTCTGGAACTGCCGTTCTGCTGCCAACAAGGCAGAGTTCATCTCAGCCTATGCTACCCTCCAGTCCCTCGACTTCTTGGCGCTGACGGAAACATGGATTACCACTGAAAACACTGCTACTCCTACTGCTCTCTCCTCGTCTGACCATGTGTTCTCGCATACCCCGAGAGCATCTGGTCAGCGGGGTGGTGGCACAGGAATCCTCATCTCTCCCAAGTGGACATTATCTCTTTTCCCCCTGACCCATCTGTCTATCTCCTCATTTGAATTCCATGCTGTCACAGTCACTAGCCCATTTAAGCTTAACATCCTTGTCATGTATCGCCCTCCTGGTTCCCTTGGAGAGTTCATCAATGAGCTTGACGCCTTGATAAGTTCCTTTCCTGAGGATGGCTCACCCCTCACAGTTCTGGGGGACTTCAACCTCCCTACGTCTACCTTTGACTCATTTCTCTCTGCCTCCTTCTTTCCATTCCTCTCCTCTTTTGACCTCACCCTTTCACCGTCCCCCCCTACTCACAATACGCTTGACCTCATCTTTACTAGATGCTGTTCTTCTACTAATCTCACTGCAACTCCCCTCCATGTCTCCGACCACTACTTTGTATCCTTTTCTCTCTCGTTCTCCTCCAACACTACTCACTCTGCCCATACTCAGATGGTAATGCGCCGTCGCAACCTTCGTTCTCTCTCCTCTTCCATCCTATCATCTCTTCCCTCTGCTCAATCCTTCTCCCTCCAATCTCCTGATTCTGCCTCCTCAACCCTCCTCTCCTCCCTTTCTGCATCCTTTGACTCTCTATGTCCCCTATCCTCCCGGCCGGCTCGGTCCTCCCCTCCAGCTCTGTGGCTTGATGACTCATTGCGAGCTCACAGAACAGGGCTCCGGGCAGCCGAGCGGAAATGGAGGAAAACTAGACTCCCTGCGGACCTGGCATCTTTTCACTCCCTCCTCTCTACATTTTCTTCATCTGTTACTGCTGCTAAAGCCACTTTCTACCACTCTAAATTCCAAGCATCTGCCTCTAACCCTAGGAAGCTCTTTGCCACCTTCTCCTCCCTTCTGAATTCCCCCCCCCCCCCCCCCCCCCTCCTTCCTCTCTGTGGATGACTTCGTCAACCATTTTGAAAAGAAGGTTGACGACATCCGATTCTCGTTTGTTAAGTCAAATAACACTGCTGGTCCTGCTCACACTGCCCTACCCTATGCTTTGACTTCTTTCTCCCCTCTCTCTCCAGATAAAATCTTGTGACGGCCGGCCGCCCAACAACCTGCCCGCTTGACCCTATCCCCTCCTCTCTTCTCCAGACCATCTCCGGTGACCTTCTCCCTTACCTCACCTCGCTCATCAACACCTTGACCGCTGGCTATGTCCCTTCCGTCTTCAAGATAGCGAGAGTTGCACCCCTTCTCAAAAAACCAACACTCGATCCCTCTGATGTTAACAACTACAGACCAGTATCCCTTCTTTCTTTTCTCTCCAAATCTCTTGAGCGTGCCGTCCCCTAGCCAACTCTCTTGCTATCTCTCTCAGAATGACCTTCTTGATCCAAACCAGTCAGGTTTCAAGACTGGTCATTCAACTGAGACTGCTCTTCTCTGTGTCACGGAGGCTCTCCGCACTGCTAAAGCTAACTCTCTCTCCTCTGTTCTTGTCCTTCTAGACTTGTCTGCTGCCTTTGATACTGTGAACCATCAGATCCTCCTCTCCACCCTCTCCGAGCTAGGCATCTCCGGCGCGGCTCACTCCTGGATTGCGTCCTACCTAGGGGTGTAACGATCCATCTACTACATCGATGTATCGATTTATATTCCTATGATCCAACTACATCGATCTGTGCTCGGCGAGTTGGCCTTTTGGACAACATATATCAATCTAACATCGTTTTAAAATGTAATAAATCGATTGTATCGATACTAGGAAATAACCCATTGGATTTAAGCACGTCAGACTTTATATGGATGTTTTTTTCTTAGCACTTTTAATGATAAAGGCTTTAAACATTACTCGATTCAGCCTGCCTATCCGTGACGTCATCGCCCCGCGCCAGCAGCAGCGCAAAGGCGCAAAGACAACAAAACATAGCATGGCGGACGACAGAGGAGAAGCCGACGAGCGAGAAATTATCAAGCCACCATTGCGGTCCTTACAAGAAACAGGAATCTAGGAAACTTCACCTGCACTGTCCAGTATCCAGGTATTTATTTCAGTCACACTGGTTGAATTTTTGGCTAAAAGGTTACTGAATCGATTTCAAGTCACTGAATCGTTTCGGATCGTATCGTTCTAAATGAACCAATATCGTCCTTGAATCGTATCGACAACCACAAATCGAATCGTTGTTAAAACGAATCGTTACACCCCTAGTCCTACCTGACCGGTCGCTCCTACCAAGTGGCGTGGCGAGAAGCTGTCTCCGCACCACGTGCTCTCACCACTGGTGTCCCCCAGGGCTCAGTTCTAGGCCCTCTCCTATTCTCGCTATACACCAAGTCACTTGGCTCTGTCATATCCTCACATGGCCTCTCCTATCATTGCTACGCAGACGACACACAACTAATCTTCTCCTTTCCCCCTTCTGATAACCAGGTGGCGAATCGCATCTCTGCATGTCTGGCAGGCATATCAGTGTGGATGACGGATCACCACCTCAAGCTGAACCTTGGCAAGATGGAGCTGCTCTTCCTCCCGGGGAAGAACTGCCCGTTCCATGATCTCGCCATCACGGTTGACATCTCCGTTGTGTCCTCCTCCCAGAGTGCGAAGAGCCTTGGCGTGACCCTGGACAACACCCTGTCATTCTCCGCTAACATCAATGCGGTGACCCGATCCTGTAGGTTCATGCTCTACAACATTCGGAGAGTACGACCCTGCCTTACACAGGAAGCGGCACAGGTCCTAATCCAGGCACTTGTCATCTCCCGTCTGGATTACTGCAACTCGCTGTTGGCTGGGCTCCCTGCCCGTGCCATTAAACCCCTATAACTCATCCAGAATGCCGTAGCCCGTCTGGTGTTCAACCTTCCCAAGTTCTCTCACGTCACCCCGCTCCTCCGCACACTCCACTGGCTTCCAGTTGAAGCTCGCACCTGCTACAAGACCATGGTGTTTGCCTACGGAGCTGTGAGGGGAACGGCACCTCCGTACCTTCAGGCTCTGATCAGTCCCTACACCCAAACGAGGGCATTGCGTTCATCCACCTCTGGCCTGCTGGCCCCCCTACCTCTGCGGAAGCACAGTTCCCGCTCAGCCCAGTCAAAACTGTTCGCTGCTCTGGCACCCCAATGGTGGAACAAGCTCCCTCACGACGCCAGGACAGCGGAGTCACTCACCACCTTCCGGAGACACTTGAAACCCCACCTCTTTAAGGAATACCTGGGATAGGATAAAGTAATCCTTCTACCCCCCCTTACCCCACCCCACCCCCCAAAAAATAAAAAAAATAAACAACATTGTAAAGTGGTTATCCCACAAGGTGAATGCACCAATTTGTAAGTCGCTCTGGATAAGAGTGTCTGCTAAATGACGTAAATGTAAATGTAAATGTAACAGGTGCATATTTGTATTCCCAGTCATGTGAAATCCATAGATTAGGGCCTAATGAATATATTTCAATTGACTGATTTCCTTATATGAACTGTAACTCAGTAAAATCATTGAAATTGTTGCATGTTGCGTTTATATTTTTGTTCAGTATACATTCTATATTTGATGCTATTGAAATGACCTTGGGTCAAACCAAATAATACCACTTACGAAACAACCTTGGCAAGGCCCCCTGTGGGCACAATAGACTACAGGCTTAGAGTTATCTTCTATGGAATTGTACTAAAAAATTCAGTAGTTCTTGCTCCGGCAGTATAATTGAGGACTCTTCACAGTGAGCCTTGTTAGTTCAGCCTCTGGACATGGATGAAGACACTTTTATTCCATCATCTTAAAGAATAATTCCACCCCAAAACTATATTTTGGTATTTGTTTCATTAGTCCATTGCTGATATGTGACATGTTTCAGGAAATTAGGCGCATGTCGCACGTCACTACTTCATAGGAGAGGCATATGAAAGTAAACATGTATTTTTTTATCCAAATGCGTTTTTTTCGGCAGAAATGCCTTCTGGAACATGTGAACTTTCATGTGCCTCAATAACAAACTTGTATGCCATCTGTAAATACGAATTAAATTGTTAAATTGAGCCTAGTTGTTTTAGCCATGGAAAAATACAGGAACCTTCCTGCTAGCCATGATTGGCTGAGATAATGGAAGGCCTGGACATGCCGAGAGATGAGTTTGGGTTGGTCTGCCATGTAGCATGCGTCTGTCTATAACATGAGCTGCTCAGTATGTGTATATAATCCTTTCTACCGCAGCTTTTTTGAACGATATCATGAAGAACTGCAAAAGTGTTGCTAAAGCTCTCCATTTTCTAGAGGACGATCATGCCATGCTGACTCTCTCTGATTCCGGATTTCATCTTCAAACTAAGGGCAACCATGGCATCCGTGACAGAGAGGGAGAAGCATTCATCCATGTATACGGGTAAGAGTCTAGCTAGCTAGCCACATTTTCAGATATCATACGTTTCTAATTTTGTCAGAAAGCTAACATTGAACCTAATTGGTTAGCTTTAGCTGCCTGCAGAGTCATGTATGGTGGCTAGCTATGACAATCAGTATGGGTTGGGATTATTGCCACGTTCGAAACAACTGGGAACTGGGAACTCAACTTCAGTGCGTTCCAAGACAGTGGCCACCCATCATTCAGAGCAGGTGGGGCAGAGCTTTTTGTTGTTGCCTGATTTCCATGTTATTTTGGTATTAATACGTGTCACATATCAGTTTGCAAACAATGTAAAAATCAACAACATTGAATTAATAAAGCTGCATACAAACATGGTCTCTTTTTTGCTTTCTTGAGTATGGCAGCTCCAAAATGCAGGTGTTTCAGCCTAGCTCAGTGCTTTCTGTGGTGGTGGGACAGCCAGGGGTTGGTAATGTTCTCTAATTGCGCCATGATTGGCTCAGTGTTTTGTCACTCATTGGGACACTATGTCACCGCAAAATCTACGGGGAGAGCTCGAAAATTCAAGGCCCTTGGGTGATGCCATAGAGTTACATTAGAAGTGTCCATCCAAGAAGGCTCAAGGTCATTGGCCACAGATAAAATGACATCAAATCAAGCTAGACAAGCGGTCATCATCATGAATCAAGTCGACAATATACTGGCAAATCCTTTTCAATCCTTCCTTGTCATATGAAGAGAAATTATAGATAAAACTTATCGGTGCCCATCGGCCATTGGACATGTGCAAGCGTTGCAAAGCAATCACTATCCTGCTATTCAGTGGAGTGGGTGTGTGGTCCAAGTCTGGGTTTAAGGGTCTCTTTTCCAAGCTTAAAAGGATAAACATTCAACACCATGGGCCAGAAAAAGTTGAATACATTGGCCATGTTGTCAATCCAGCATGACAACTCACCTTGTTGTGCTGTGCTCACTTGAACAGGAAGGTGGCGCGGCGGTCCTTCTTGTGGGCAAACTTTGTCATCAAAGTCTGGCATTCTCTGGATTTATGGTGCTTTCAAGACAACTGGGAACTAGGGAAAAAACTAGCTCCGACTGGGAAAATATGTTTTGAAAGGAATTCCACGTCGGGAACTCAGGCCTCTTTCTAGAGCTCCGACCTGAAGATCACTAACATCATGATTCAACCTTGTTTTTTTCAGTGTTCCCAGTTGTCTTGAAAGCACCATAAATCCAGAGAATGCCAGACTTTGATGACAAAGTTTGATGACAAAATGTTCACACAATAAAGACCGCCGCACCACCTTCCTGTTCAAGTGAGCACAGCACAACAAGGTGAGTCCAAAAATGTATTTTATGCCGCTGCATAAATGACGTAATATGCCAGGGAGATATGTATACTGTAGCTAAGAAAGTAATACTAAGTGTATGTTGTGTAGTAATCTGTTAGTAGCCCATGTGCCTCACCCTAAAAATGTTAGCCTACTGTTCTGACTTGGTGGTGCATATGTAGCCTCTAGCCTGTTTTAGATAAATGTAGTCATTGAATATTGTAAGTGCTTTCATTGTCTGCTTATATGCCCCCTTTATTTATCCTACGGTTCCGACTTGGTGTACAGGGAGAATACTGTAAAACGGCCCATGTTTTGAATTCTGTCGCTGTACATTTCAAAAGTGCTGAACAAATATGTCCGTCCTAGCTCGCTCATTAATGTCTTAATCGAAATTACGTATTGCCTCTTATCCGCCCTACGTCCCCCTTTGTCATAGTTTGTACATCTCAATTGTCAGTAGAAACCACATTTGTTTAAGCAAGTCAGCCATACCAGCAGTTTTTTTAAAGGCAGTAAATGAGGCTAAATGAACTGTTTTCGCTGCCAGACAAGGCTCTGCTGATTGTTGCAGTGGTAAGGATTCACTCCATGGTGCTGAAAATAAAGCTCTGGTGTTGGGACAGCTTTATGTAGGCCCTAACAGTTTGTGGGCACCGTTTGTCACCGTTATAGTACAATTAATGTATTGTATAGTGTTGTGTTGTGTAGTGGCTTTGCTGGCATGCATCTAAAAAAATTGGGGGGAGTTTACCCCACCAAGATTTACATTATAAAATCGCCACTGGTTCAAGACAACTGGGAACTCGGAAGAAAACGAGCTGCGACTGGGAAAATAGTTCACGGTCATCCAACTCGGAATTCCAACTCGGGAAGTCGGCATCTTTCTAGAGCCCCGACTTTCCAATCTGAAGATCACTGACGTCATGATTTGACCTCGTATTTTTGCAAGTTCGCAGTTGTCTTGAAAGCAGCAATATGTTCATTGTTTAGCTAGCTCGCTAGCTAGCTACATGTCTAAACAAAAGACTCCACTTTGCCAGATTACATGACCCATCAAGTTAGCCAGGTGTGTCTGGGTGTGATTACGGTCAGCTATTGTATTTCATGAACATGTGTACAGTGCATTCGGAAAGTATTAAGACCCCTTGCCCTTTTCCACATTTTGTTACGTTACAGCCTTTTTCTAAAATTGATTAAATAAAACATTTTCCTCATCAATCTACACACAATACCCCATAATGACAAAGCAAAAACAGGTTTTTAGATTTCTTTTGCAATTTTATAGAAAATAAAAAACATAAATACCTTATTTACATAAGTATTCAGACCCTTTGTTATGAGACACGAAATTGAGCTCAGGTGCATCTTGTTTCCATTGATCATCCTTGAGATGTTTCTACAACTTGATTGGAGTCCACCTGTGGTATATTCTATTGATTGGACATGATTTGGAAAGGCACACACCTGTCTATATAAGGTCCCACAGTTGACAGTGCATTTCAGAGCAAAACCAAGCCATGAGGTCAAAGGAACTGTCCGTAGAGCTCCGAGACAGGATTGTGTCGAGGCACAGATCTGGGGAAGGGTACCAAAAAATATCTGCAGCATTGAAGGTCCCCAAGAACAGAGTGGCCTCCATCATTCTTAAATGGAAGAAGTTTGGAACCACCAAGACTCTTCCTAGAGCTGGCCACCTGGCCAAACTGAGCAATCGGGGGAGAAGGGCCTTGGTCAGGGTGATAACCAAGAACCCGATGGTCACTCTGACAGAACTCCAGAGCTCCTCTGTAAAGATGGAAGAACCTTTCAGAAGAACAACCATCTCTGCAGCACTCCACCAATCAGGCCTTTTATGGTATAGTGGCCAGACGGAAGACACTCCTCAGTAAAAGGCACGACAGCCTGCTTGGAGTTTGCTATAAGGTACCTAAAGGACTCCCAGACCATGAGAAACAAGATTTTCTGGTCTGATGAAACCAAGATTGAACTCTTTGGCCTGAATCCCAAGTGTCACATCTGGAGGAAACCTGGCACCTTCCCTACGGTGAAGCATGGTGGTGGCAGCATCATGCTGTGGGGACGTTTTTCAGCGGCAGAGACTGGGAGACTAGTCAGGATCGAGGGAAAGATGAACGGAGCAAAGTACAGAGAGATCCTTGATGAAAACCTGTTCCAGAGCGCTCAGGCCCTCAGACTAGGGCAAAGGTTCACCTTCCAACAGGACAACGACCCTAAGCCCACAGCCAAGACAAAACAGGAGTGGCTTCGGGACAAGTCTCTGAATGTCCTTGAGTGGCCCAGCCAGAGCCTGGACTTGAACCCGATCGAATATCTCTGGAGAGACCCGAAAATAGCTGTGCAGCGACGCTCCCCAGTCAACCTGACAGAGCTTGAGAGGACCTGCAGAGAAGAATGGGAGAAACTCCCCAAATACAGTGGGGGAAAAAAGTATTTAGCCAGCCACCAATTGTGCAAGTTCTCCCACTTAAAAAGATGAGAGAGGCCTGTAATTTTCATCATAGGTACACGTCAACTATGACAGACAAATTGAGAAAAAAAATCCAGAAAATCACATTGTAGGATTTTTAATGAATTTATTTGCAAATTATGGTGGAAAATAAGTATTTGGTCACCTACAAACAAGCAAGATTTCTGGCTGTCACAGACCTGTAACTTCTTCTTTAAGAGGCTCCTCTGTCCTCCACTCGTTACCTGTATTAATGGCACCTGTTTGAACTTGTTATCAGTATAAAAGACACCTGTCCACAACCTCAAACAGTCACACTCCAAACTCCACTATGGCCAAGACCAAAGAGCTGTCAAAGGACACCAGAAACAAAATTGTAGACCTGCACCAGGCTGGGAAGACTGAATCTGCAATAGGTAAGCAGCTTGGTTTGAAGAAATCAACTGTGGAAGCAATTATTAGGAAATGGAAGACATACAAGACCACTGATAATCTCCCTCGATCTGGGGCTCCACGCAAGATCTCACCCCGTGGGGTCAAAATGATCACAACCACAGATCCACACGGGGGGACCTAGTGAATGAACTGCAGAGAGCTGGGACCAAAGTAACAAAGCCTACCATCAGTAACACACTACGCCGCCAGGGACTCAAATCCTGCAGTGCCAGACGTGTCCCCCTGCTTAAGCCAGTACATGTCCAGGCCTGTCTGAAGTTTGCTAGAGTGCATTTGGATGATCCAGAAGAGGATTGGGAGAATGTCATATGGTCAGATGAAACCAAAATATAACTTTTTGGTAAAAACTCAACTCGTCGTGTTTGGAGGACAAAGAATGCTGAGTTGCATCCAAAGAACACCATACCTACTGTAAAGCATGGGGGTGGAAACATTATGCTTTGGGGCTGTTTTTCTGCAAAGGGACCAGGACGACTGATCTGTGTAAAGGAAAGAATGAATGGGGCCATGTATCGTGAGATTTTGAGTGAAAACCTCCTTCCATCAGCAAGGGCATTGAAGATGAAACGTGGCTGGGTCTTTCAGCATGACAATGCTCCCAAACACACCGCCCGGGCAACGAAGGAGTGGCTTCGTAAGAAGCATTTCAAGGTCCTGGAGTGGCCTAGCCAGTCTCCAGATCTCAACCCCATAGAAAATCTTTGGAGGGAGTTGAAAGTCCGTGTTGCCCAGCGACAGCCCCAAAACATCACTGCTCTAGAGGAGATCTGCATGGAGGAATGGGCCAAAATACCAGCAACAGTGTGTGAAAACCTTGTGAAGACTTACAGAAAATGTTTGACCTGAGTCATTGCCAACAAAGGGTATATATCAAAGTATTGAGAAACTTTTGTTATTGACCAAATACTTATTTTCCACCATAATTTGCAAATAAATTCATTAAAAATCCTACAATGTGATTTTCTGGATTTTTTTTTCTCATTTTGTCTGTCATAGTTGACGTGTACCTATGATGAAAATTACAGGCCTCTCTCATCTTTTTAAGTGGGAGAACTTGCACAATTGGTGGCTGACTAAATACTTTTTTCCCCCACTGTACAGGTGTGCCAAGCTTGTAGTGTCATACCCAAGAAGACTTGAGGCAGTAATCACTGCCAAAGGTGCTTCAACAACGTACTGAGTAAAGGATCTGAATACTTATGTAAATGTGATATTTCTGTTTTTATTTTTTATAAATTAAAAATAAACTTATTTTGCTTTGTCATTATGGGGTATTGTGTGTAGATTGATGAGGGGGAAAAAACGATTTAATACATTTTAGAATAAGGCTGTAACGTAACAAAATGTGGAAAAAGTCAAGGGGTCTGACAACAGTGACCCATTCACTTAGCTAGATGTGGCTGGGGGGTGGTTATAGCATTTCTTTCACATTACCCATCAATTTAGACAAGTGTGTCTGGGTAAGAATTATCTAATAATTATAAAATATTTATAAAATATTTATCTAGACCCTTTCTATTTTTGATATTGCTACTATGCAAATATGCAAGTAACCATTTCACTGTACCGTTTACAACTTCTCTATTGCTGTGCATGTGACAAATAAACATGGATTTTATTTGATATGGTGTGTGCTTACCAGAGACGGTAATGTGAAGAACAACATGACCTGCACCAAAGTCAGATTAGGATCTAGGCCAAGGACTAGATAAAGTGTATTGTGCTACAATTTCACCACTTTTAGTCTTGAAATGGCCTCATGTGAATCCTTAAAGAGATGGGTGGGGCTAAGTCTTAAGAGGGTGTGAACCATGCTGAATGGGTGTAGACAAAGAAGAGCTCTCCAGTAGGTGTACAAAAACATTCAAGGGCCATTTTCTCAAAGGTGGGGTTACAAGTTTGTCAACTTTCAAAGCAGAATTACAGCGCCTTGCAAAAGTATTCATTCCCCTTGGCGTTTTTCCTATTTTGTCGCATTACAACCTGTAATTTAAATGGATTTTTATTTGGATTTCATGTAATGGACATACACAAAATAGTCCAAATTGGTGAAGTGAAATGAAAAAAATAACTTGTTTCAAAAAATTCAAAAAAATAAATAACGGAAAAGTGGTGCATGCATACAGTGGGGGAAAAAAGTATTTAGTCAGCCACCAATTGTGCAAGTTCTCCCACTTAAAAAGATGAGAGAGGCCTGTAATTTTCATCATAGGTACACGTCAACAATGACAGACAAAATGAGAAAAAAAATCCAGAAAATCACATTGTAGGATTTTTAATGAATTTATTTGCAAATTATGGTGGAAAATAAGTATTTGGTCAATAACAAAAGTTTCTCAATACTTTGTTATATACCCTTTGTTGGCAATGACACAGGTCAAACGTTTTCTGTAAGTCTTCACAAGGTTTTCACACACTGTTGCTGGTATTTTGGCCCATTCCTCCATGCAGATCTCCTCTAGAGCAGTGATGTTTTGGGGCTGTCGCTGGGCAACACAGACTTTCAACTCCCTCCAAAGATTTTCTATGGGGTTGAGATCTGGAGACTGGCTAGGCCACTCCAGGACATTGAAATGCTTCTTACGAAGCCACTCCTTCGTTGCCCGGGCGGTGTGTTTGGGATCATTGTCATGCTGAAAGACCCAGCCACGTTTCATCTTCAATGCCCTTGCTGATGGAAGGAGGTTTTCACTCAAAATCTCACGATACATGGCCCCATTCATTCTTTCCTTTACACGGATCAGTCGTCCTGGTCCCTTTGCAGAAAAACAGCCCCAAAGCATGATGTTTCCACCCCCATGCTTCACAGTAGGTATGGTGTTCTTTGGATGCAACTCAGCATTCTTTGTCCTCCAAACACGACGAGTTGAGTTTTTACCAAAAAGTTCTATTTTGGTTTCATCTGACCATATGACATTCTCCCAAACTTCAGACGGGCCTGGACATGTACTGGCTTAAGCAGGGGGACACGTCTGGCAATGCAGGATTTGAGTCCCTGGCGGAGTAGTGTGTTACTGATGGTAGGCTTTGTTACTTTGGTCCCAGCTCTCTGCAGGTCATTCACTAGGTCCCCCCGTGTGGTTCTGGGATTTTTGCTCACCGTTCTTGTGATCATTTTGACCCCACAGGGTGAGATCTTGCGTGGAGCCCCAGATCGAGGGAGATTATCAGTGGTCTTGTATGTCTTCCATTTCCTAATAATTGCTCCCACAGTTGATTTCTTCAAACCAAGCTGCTTACCTATTGCTGATTCAGTCTTCCCAGCCTGGTGCAGGTCTACCATTTTGTTTCTGGTGTCCTTTGACAGCTCTTTGGTCTTGGCCATAGTGGAGTTTGGAGTGTGACTGTTTGAGGTTGCGGACAGGTGTCTTTTATACTGATAACAAGTTCAAACAGGTGCCATTAATACAGGTAACGAGTGGAGGACAGAGGAGCCTCTTAAAGAAGAAGTTACAGGTCTGTGAGAGCCAGAAATCTTGCTTGTTTGTAGGTGACCAAATACTTATTTTCCACCATAATTTGCAAATGAATTCATTAATAATCCTACAATGTGATTTTCTGGATTTATTTTTCTCAATTTGTCTGTCATAGTTGACGTGTACCTATGATGAAAATTACAGGCCTCTCTCATCTTTGGGGAGAAATCAAGTGGGAGAACTTGCACAATTGGTGGCTGACTAAATACTTTTTTCCCCCACTGTATGTATTCACCCCCTTTGCTAGGAAGCCCCTAAATAAGATCTGGTGCAACCAATTACCTTCAGAAGTCACATAATTAGTTAAATAAAGTCCACCTGTGTGCAATCTAAGTGTCACATGATCTGTCACATGATCTCAGTATATATACACTTGTTCTGAAAGGCCCCAGAGTCTGCAACACCACTAAGCAAGGGGCACCACCAAGCAAGCGGTACCATGAAGACCAAGGAGCTCTCCAGGTCAGGGACAAAGTTGTGGAGAAGTACAGATCAGGGTTGGGTTATAAAAAAATATCAGAAACGTTGAACATCCCACGGAGGGCCATTAAATCCATTATAAAAAAATTGAAAGAATATGGCACCACAACAAACCTGCCAAGAGAGGGCCGCCCACCAAAACTCACGGACCAGGCAAGGAGGGCATTAATCAGAGAGGCAACAAAGAGACCAAAGATAACCCTGAAGGAGCTGCAAAGCTCCACAGCGGAGATTGGAGTATCTGTCCATAGGACCACTTTAAGCCGTACACTCCACAGAGCTGGGCTTTACGGAAGAGTGGCCAGAAAAAAGCAATTTCTTAAAGAAAAAAATAAGCAAACACATTTGTTGTTCGCCAAAAGACATGTGGGAGACTCCCCAAACATATGGAAGAAGGTACTCTGGTCAGATGAGACTAAAATTGAGCTTTTTGCCCATCAAGGAAAACGCTATGTCTGGCACAAACCCAACACCTCTCAACACCCCGAGGACACCATCCCCACGGTGAAGCATGGTGGTGGCAGCATCATGCTGTGGGGATGTTTTTCATCTGAAGGGACTGGAAAACTGGTTAGAATTGAAGGAATGATGGATGGCGCTAAATACAGGGAAATTCTTGAGTGAAACCTGTTTCAGTCTTCCAGAGATTTGAGACTAGGACGGAGGTTCACCTTCCAGCAGGTTGATGACCTTAAGCATAATGCTAAAACAACACTTGAGTGGTTTAAGGGGAAACATTTAAATGTCTTGGAATGGCCTAGTCAAAGCCCAGACCTCAATCCAATTGAGAATCTGTGGTATGACTTAAAGATTGCTGTACACCAGCGGAACCCATCCGACTTCGGTCGCCAGCTGGACAGTGTTTCCTCCGACACATTGGTGCGGCTGGCTTCCGGGTTAAGCGAGCAGTGTGTCAAGAAGCAGTGCAGCTTGGCAGGGTCGTGTTTTGGAGGACGCATGGCTCTCGACCTTCACCTTTGATGCAAAATGCATCATACCGGCTGTATTTCTGTATTTTAAAAGTTATATATCTTAAAAGTTATATAACTTGAAAACTGATTGCTGACATGCAAAACATTTTGGGACTATATCAACAATGGACTAATGAAACAAAAACCAAAAGATAGTTTTTAGGTGGAATTTTCCTTTAAGGTCTCCTGAGGTTCTCCATCGAGGTGCAGACCCATGGTTCTCAGGCTCACAAGGACCCCATAAACCACAAATGGGGTGACCCCTGTCCTCACAAACCCCCAAAGGGGATGTGCGTCCAGCTTGGTTTCCCCTTTTACAGTGCTTCCAGTGCTTTACTGCACATTCCCCTTGGAGCAGCGCCGGATGGGGTCCGAGGCACATAAAGTCACCATGCATGCCGTCTCCACTATGGATGAGTCAAATGATCCGCATCAGCGGACATTACTGACTTCAAAGCGTTTGTCTGTAAGACCCCTCTGCTGGCCGGTCTGCCAGCACATGGCTATGTTAAGAACGTGGACCCCAAGACTCAGCTGGTTAAGAATGTGGTCCTCTGTAGCTCAGCTGGTAGAGCACGGTGCTTGTAACGCCAAGGTAGTGGGTTCGATCCCCGGGACCACCCATACACAAAAATGTATGCACGCATGACTGTAAGTCGCTTTGGATAAAAGCATCTGCTAAATGGCATATTATATTATTATTATTATGGGTCAGGGAACTTCACTGTTTACTGAAGGGCGGAAGGCAAACTTAGTCAACTCACACACATGCACACACATACACACAAGGGGTACTTCTGCTACCAAAATGTATTTTTTGTAACGGGCACACAGTAAGAGGTTATTCTGCAACATGGTTGCATTAGAATACAGTATGTAAAGAATAGTGACGTTTAACCATCGACATAACCTGAAAGGCCGCTCAGCAAGGAAGAAGCCATTGCTCCAAAACTGCCATATAAAAGCCAGACTACGGTTTGCCACTGCACATGGGGACAAAGATCGTACTTTTTGGAGAAATGTCCTCTGGTCTGATGAAACAAAAATAGAACTGTTTGGCCATAATGACCATCGTTATGTTTGGAGGAAAAAGGGGATAGCTTGCAAGCCCAAGAACACCATCCCAACCGTGAAGCCCGGGGGTGGCAGCATCATGCTGTGGGGGTGCTTTGCTGCAGGAGAGACTGGTGCACTTTACAAAAAAGAATGGCATCATGAGGAAGGAACATTATGTGGATATATTGAAGCAACATCTCAAGACATCAGTCAGGAAGTTAAAGCTTGGTCGCCAATGGGTCTTCCAAATGTTCAATGACCCCAAGCATACTTCCAAAGTTGTGGCAAAATGGCTTAAGGACAACAAAGTCAAGGTATTGGAGTGGCCATCACAAAGCCCTGACCTCAATCCTATAGAACATTTGTGGGCAGAACTGAAAAAGCGTGTGCGAGCAAGGAGGCCTACAAACCTGACTCAGTTACACCAGCTCTGTCAGGAGGAATGGGCCAAAACTCACCCAACTTATTGTGGGAAGCTTGTGGAAGGCTACCCGAAACGTTTGACCCAAGTTAAACAATTTAAAGGCAATGCTACCAAATACTAATTGATTGTATGTAAACTTCTGACCCACTGGGAATGTGATGAAAGAAATAAAAGCTTAAATAAATCTTTCTCTGTACTACTATTCTGACATTTCACATTCTTAAAATAAAGTGGTGATCCTAACTGACCTAAGACAGGGAATTTTTACTCTGATTAAATGTCAGGAATTGTGAAAAACAGAGTTTTAAATGTATTTGGCTAAGGTGTATGTAAACTTCCGACTTCAACTGTATATAGAACCTATGACATTTATAAAACAATTCGTTTTTCTTTTGTCACTGTCACGACTTCCTCCGAAGCTGCCTCCTCTCCTTGTTCGGGCAGGCTTCGGCGTTCGTCATCACCGGCCTTCTAGTCACTGCCGTTCCTCATCTCATCATTCCATTTATTTTGTCATGTTTATTACACACACCTGGTTCATATCCCCTCATCAGTACCTGTATAAGTGTTCCCTCTGCTCCCCCTTGTCTTTGTGTGTGATTGTTACTTTGTGGAGGTATCGCTAGCTCTGTTGAGCCTTTTGTTATTTTATCACCTGGAATATTTACCCGTGTATGTTTGGTTCCCAGTACGCATTTAAGTCGCACTGGGATCGTGTTTACGCATTGCTGCGGACTACCTTGGGCTGAATAAAGCATATTCCTTCTTTACACTCCTGCGCCTCCGTCACAGTTATAATTTATGAATTTATTTGGGTAAAATATGTATATAACAAAATGTTAAAAGTGGACCCAGAGGATTTTTCCAAAGTGGATGCCCATAACTGTCAATACAGACCCAAGACCGATGACGGAATCAGAGTCAATCCTATCTGTATAAATCGTGATAACACACCAAATTGACAAAACAAATACTTATTTGCAATTTCCCTGTGTTCACCTCAAAGCGCCACATTCCTTCAGACAGAGTCAGACCAGCAGGAGATCATTGTTGCTGTATGACTGTAGTGTCTCATTGGCTCAATAGCACCAGATGACCTATGTTGAGGGGCTGGACGGCTGCTTGTAACAGTCTAATTAGCATCTAAATGGCCTGTAAGAGAAGTGGTGCTGTTAGAGGCTGGAGGAGATAGATAATGTGCTTGTCATGGACACTGATGATACACTGAGTGAACTAACAAACTAACGACCCACCCTTGTGTCTCACTGAGATCTCCCCATGTCTCAACAACAGCTCGCTGTGGGTGGGTGGGTGGGTTTGTGTGTGTGTGTGTGTGTGTGTGTGTGTGTGTGTGTGTGTGTGTGTGTGTGTGTGTGTGTGTGTGTGTGTGTGTGTGTGTGTGTGTGTGTGTGTGTGTGTGTGTGTGTGTGTGTGTGTGTGTGTGTGTGTGTGTGTGGTGCGTGCGTGCGTGCGTGCGTGCGTGCGTGCGTGCGTGCGTGCGTGCGTGCGTGCGTGCGTGTGTGTGTGTGTGTGTGTGTGTGTTTGTGAGCGGGAGGGAAGACATGCATGACGGAAGGGCTCTCGTTTAGCGGCCCTCCAACATTAAAGCATCTAGACAAATTGGTCATGACGAAGATGGGAGATAGGAGGTGAACGTCCAGATCACAGTGTGTATAAGAGACATAATTAGGGACCTCTGGTCCTCAGTGAAGGATAGAGGGGAGGTTTGGATGGATGCCCATTAAGTGATGTAATTTTGAACTGAGGTCAGGGGTCAAGGAGGAGAGTGGTGAGACTGTCCCCATTTCATTGTGATGTCACACACTTTGGCAACAATTTACAATTGTCTTGAAGAGTGAAGTGATCTCTATTTTGAATTGCACATATACTCCACAAATTGGAATATTGGCATTCAATTAGTTATGAGTTACATACATCTAAGGTTCTAATCGATCCACCAGACACACTGAACATTGGCCCGACTACACTGAACATTTTATGCCAAGCCTCCACATAGCTTTCTTGATGCACATGATATACCACTGTTTACATATCAAATACTGCTCTCACTTACTCCACACATATAATTTTTTCTATTTTAAATGTTGTCTACTATTTCTCTTTTTTTTTCTCAGCATTGTTGGAATGGGCCCGTAAGTAAGCATTTCACTGTTATACACAGTCTATAAATTCTTCAGTTAATAAGCCTTTGTTAGAAAATGTGAACTCATCAATCCTTTATCATGGCAACATCTAATGAGGTCTTAATTCAAGTGTGTGTGCATCATTAACAAGGCCTGCTGTTTGAAGACAGCACTTGAATCGGCCTTTCATCTCCACCACAACGTGTGGAGAAAACTGGTCATATTACGCTGCTGCGCAAAAACCTAGCAAATGGTCATTTGTAATGTTTCACCCCGTGTGAATACTTGTAAAATACTTCTATAATATTCTTCTCTTGATTTGCCTTGTAGAGTCACACTATAAATCTCTTGACTTGGACAATGGGATTAAGAATGAGGAGAATTGCTAAAGTTGGTCAACTGGCAAACCAGCAGTGTTTAGGACCTCGGAGGCTGCCACCAGATCATTCATCCTAAAAAACGTCAACCTGCTTTACTGTACCCGGTAGTACAGTAAATGTTGGCATCCTGGTACTCAGCATCTCTTCATGGGCACTGGGCTGTGACAGCACCATGACTCGCAACCTGGCAGCAGACATGAGGGATTGTGTCACCGTGTGATGACATCAGAGGAGGCTTTGGGGGATACAGGTGTCAACCATGACTGGTGACACCATGTCCATTTACAAGACCCAACACAAAGATAAAGGGATAACGATCAACGCCGATAGCATACTTTTTCACCACACCCTGTCAAGTGCCTTTCCCGTTGTCTCTCTACCATTACTGCTATAGCATACAGCCTAACAGAAATTGTGGTTGTTGTGTTGTTGTTGTTTCCAGTGGTATGGCCTCATGTGACTGCTATGTGCTAGCTGCATTTGTGCAGGCAGCGCAACGCCCCCACATCCCCCGCTGCTATAATTACACTAATTGGAATCAGATGATGCCCGGCTTAGTTGGAAAGGAATGCAAACGGGGCTACAGGGCTTTTCCGCACGGAAAATCCACTGGAAGAGGTGAACACGAGACAGAGGGGGAGAGGAGAGCAGAAGAGGGCCGGTGCAGTCATGCAGTCACGCATTCTGTTGTCCTGGCATTAATAAAATAGCCAGGATTCCTTGAAACACAGTGAGGCAAACACACACACACACACACACACACACACACACACAAAAGGTTTGAGTGTTGTCGTATGTTGGCAAAATGTTCAGGCAGCATGTCAGGTAAAGGCATGATTTCAATTACCTAAACACACTACATACAGTGAGGGAAAAAAGTATTTGATCCCCTGCTGATTTTGTAAGTTTGCCCACTGACAAAGACATGATCAGTCTATAATTTTAATGGTAGGTTTATTTGAACAGTGAGAGACTGAATAACAACAACAAAATCCAGAAAAACGCATGTCAAAAATGTTATAAATTGATTTGCATTTTAATGAGGGAAATAAGTATTTGACCCCTCTGCAAAACATGACTTAGTACTTGGTGGCAAAACCCTTGTTGGCAATCACAGAGGTCAGACGTTTCTCGTACTTGGCCACCAGGTTTGCACACATTTCAGGAGGGATTTTGTTCCACTCCTCTTTGCAGATCTTCTCCAAGTCATTAAGGTTTTGAGGCTGATGTTTGGCAACTCGAACCTTCAGCTCCCTCCACAGATTTTCTATGGGATTAAGGTCTGGAGACTGGCTAGGCCACTCCAGGACATTAATGTGCTTCTTCTTGAGCCACTCCTTTGTTGCCTTGGCCGTGTGTTTTGGGTCATTGTCATGCTGGAATACCCATCCACGACCCATTTTCAATGCCCTGGCTGAGAGAAGGAGGTTCTCACCCAAGATTTGACGGTACATGGCCCCGTCCATCGTCCCTTTGATGCGGTGAAGTTGTCCTGTCCCCTTAGCAGAAAAACACCCCTAAAGCATAATGTTTCCACCTCCATGTTTGACGGTGGGGATGGTGTTCTTGGGGTCATAAGCAGCATTCCTCCTCCTACAAACACGGCGAGTTGAGTTGATGCCAAAGAGCTCGATTTTGGTCTCATCTGACCACAACACTTTCACCCAGTTCTCCTCTGAATCATTCAGATGTTCATTGGCAAACTTCAGACGGGCCTGTATATGTGCTTTCTTGAGCAGGGGGACCTTGCGGGCGCTGCAGGATTTCAGTCCTTCACGGCGTGGTGTGTTACCAATTGTTTTCTTGGTGACTATGGTCCCAGCTGCCTTGAGATCATTGACAAGATCCTCCCGTGTAGTTCTGGGCTGATTCCTCACCGTTCCCATGATCGTTGCAACTCCACGAGGTGAGATCTTGCATGGCACCCCAGGCCGAGGGAGATTGACAGTTCTTTAGTGTTTCTTCCATTTGCGAATAATCGCACCAACTGTTGTCACCTTCTCACCAAGCTGCTTGGCGATGGTCTTGTAGCCCATTCCAGCTTTAACGTACAAAATCAGCAGGGGATCAAATACTTTTTTCCCTCACTGTATACATGAGCTCAATTGAATTAATTGATCTAATTCATGGAGATTTAATCCACTCATTTGACATGCAAGCACACGTGGTATCACAGTCACTGTATGCATACAGATTTCAGGCAGCAGACTAGAGGGACTAGGGGTTTGATATCTACACATCGTATGATGAAAACTCGAAATACACCAAGGGTGTAATATCTGTACATCGAATGATGAAAACTGGATATACACACTTGCTGATACGAGGCCAGAATATTAAAGGTTAGAATCTCTCCGTACGAGGGCAAGTATAATATAAACCCTGCCAAAAGCATATTTCCTCCCAAGTTGGCGAGGGAGGGCAACAACCCAGGCAGGTTTCATTCTGTTGAAAGTCACACTTGAAAGTCGGTCTGATTGTCTTCGGTTTATGTACTGTTGTGTGGCCACTGAGGCGTGGGACGCAGTGTATGGATTCCCTGCAGGTGATGGGGACTTAATGAAAGAGAGACACACTGGAAGCAAACAGGGCCCTTGTCAGTTCCACTGAACGACAGGGTCCTGCGCCTCAGTTGTCCTCCTCACCAGCAGGGGGCAGTGTAGCAGTGTCGAGTCCACAGGGAGGTGGGGTGTTTACGTGTCAGTCAGTGTGTTTGTTTACCCAGCTAAAGAGCCGTGACAACGGGAAGTCACCAAAAGGTTGATTCAATTATCTCCTGACTCCCACTCATTGACCCTTTTACAAAACAACATTTCCTGGTACTTGTTTCTATCACGTGTTCCAAGGCTAATAGAGAGCTCTTTGTCAGGTTCCCTCCCTATCACTGTGTACGTCTCATCGGCACTGGGTGTACGTCTCGTTCAAACCGCATGTACGTCTCATCGTCCTAGTGTGCATCTCATCGCTGATCTATTAGCATGGGGGTGTTAAAGAGAACACACAACACAGGAAGTGAACAATGAGTAGTCCACCTCCTCTCCTCTCTGGGTGTCTCCATGTGGATTAGAATGTGTGGTTTGTCTATGCAGCACTTTTGTTTCCTCTTGCTTGGTGGACGACTGCTCCTCGCCTTTGTCTTCCACATCGCATTTGTCTCGCTCTCTGTTAGTTACAGAGTGTAATTAGCACGCCGGCGCGAGCCACGGACTCCCCGGACACCTCAAAACTCATTAAATTCCACTAGTGTCGTTTTTTTGCTGGCTTGCTTTTGCCCAATATTAATCTTCCTCTCTCCCCAAACTTTAATTCTTTGATAAATGTTTATAAAAAAAAGGGAAAAAATATTTCGCCCTGTTATGTAATAATGGTGTGTGTGTGTATGTGTTTGTGTGCATGTGTGCACTTTAAGGGATATTATTGCCGTGTGGATTTAAGGTCAGGCCTTAACGAGGGGCTGGCTAATTACATGTGAATTGTTGCCTTGGTTTCTTGACGAACGTAGCAGGTCGAAGAGGAGACCCGGTGGTCTCCCTGTGCCTCCAGTCAATGACAGTCATACATTTCCTCCTGCTCTCCTCTCACCAGCAGGCCAAACAAACAAGGTCATTGTCTGTTGTACAGATGTAGGATCTTAATTTGATCAACCTGCAATCCACAACATTTTAAACTTGTAGTGTATCTGAGGTCTAAAACAGCTTCTGAAGTTGGTAATTTACAGTTAGAAATTTCAGACTTCATTTTCCCTTATGAAAAATGCATCAACCCCTACAAAAATGTCCATGAATTATAATCCACATAATAATTCAGATTTTCTGTTGCTGCAGGATTATTTTCCTGCTGTAGCAAAATGGCTCAAATTAGGATCCTATGCATTCGGAAAAGTATTCAGACCCCTTGAATTTTTCCACATTTTGTTACGTTACAGCCTTATTCTAAAATGGATTAAATCGATTTTTCCCCTCATCAATCTACACACAATACCCCATAATGACAAAGCAAAAACTGGTTTTTATAAATTTTTGCAAATGTATTACAAATAACAAACGGAAATATTACATTTACATAAGTTTTCAGATCCTTTACTCAGTACTTTGTTGAAGCACCTTTGGCAGCGATTACAGCCTTGAGTGTTCTTGGGTATGACGCTACAAGCTTAGCACACCTGTATTTGGGGAGTTTCTCCCATTCTTCTCTGCAGATCCTTTCAAGCTCTGTCAGGTTGGATGAGGAGCGTCGCTGCACAGCTATTTTCAGGTCTCTCCAGAGATGTTAAATCAGGTTCAAGTCCGGGCTCTGGCTGGGCCACTCAAGGGCATTCAGAAACTTGTCCCGAAGCCACTCCTGCGTTGTCTTGGCTGTGTGCTTAGGGTCGTTGTCCTGTTGGAAGGTGAACCTTCGCACCAGTCTGCGGTCCTAAGCGCTCAGGAACAGGTTTTCATCAAGGATCTCTCTGTACTTTGCTCCGTTCATATTTCCCTCGATCCTGACTTGTCTCCCAGTTACTGCCACTGAAAAACATCTGCACAGCATGATGCTGCCACCACCATGCTTTACCATAGGGATTGTGCCAGGTTTCCTCCAGACGTGATGCTTGGCAATCTTGGTTTCATCAGACCAGAGAATCTTGTTTCTCATGGTCTGAGAGTCCTTTAGGTGCCTTTTGGCAAACTCCAAAGGGGCTGTCATGTGCTTTTACTGAGGAGTGGCTTCCATCTGGCCACTCTACCATAAAAGGCCTGATTAGTAGAGTGCTGCGAAGATGGTTGTCCTTCTGGAAGGTTCTCCCATCTCTACAGAGGATCTCTGGAGCTCTGTCAGAGTGTTCATCGGGTTCTAGGTCACCTCCCTGACCAAGGCCCTTCTCCCCCGATTGCTCAGTTTGGCCGGGCGGCCAGATCTAGGAAGAGTCTTGGTGGTTCTAAACTTCTTCCATTTAATAATGATGGAGGCCACTGTGTTCTTGGGGACCTTCAATGCTGCAGAACATTTTTGGTACCCTTCCCCATATCTGTGCCTCGACACAAACCTGTCTCGGAGCTCTACGGATAATTCCTTCAACCTCATGGCTTGTTTTTTGCTCTGACATGCACTGTCAACTGTGGGACTTAATATACAGTGGGGAAAAAAAGTATTTAGTCAGCCACCAATTGTGCAAGTTCTCCCACTTAAAAAGACGAGAGAGGCCTGTAATTTTCATCATAGGTACACGTCAACTATGACAGACAAATTGAGAAAAGAAAATCCAGAAAATCACATTGTAGGATTTTTTATGAATTTATTTGCAAATTATGGTGGAAAAAAAGTATTTGGTCACCTACAAACAAGCAAGATTTCTGGCTCTCACAGACCTGTAACTTCTTCTTTAAGAGGCTCCTCTGTCCTCCACTCGTTACCTGTATTAATGGCACCTGTTTGAACTTGTTATCAGTATAAAAGACACCTGTCCACAACCTCAAACAGTCACACTCCAAACTCCACTATGGCCAAGACCAAAGAGCTGTCAAAGGACACCAGAAACAAAATTGTAGACCAGCACCAGGCTGGGAAGACTGAATCTGCAATAGGTAAGCAGCTTGGTTTGAAGCAATCAACTGTGGGAGCAATTCTTAGGAAATGGAAGACATACAAGACCACTGATAATCTCCCTCGATCTGGGGCTCCACGCAAGATCTCACCCCGTGGGGTCAAAATGATCACAAGAACGGTGAGCAAAAATCCCAGAACCACACGGGGGGACCTAGTGAATGACCTGCAGAGAGCTGGGACCAAAGTAACAAAGCCTACCATCAGTAACACACTACGCCGCCAGGGACTCAAATCCTGCAGTGCAAGACATGTCCCCCTGCTTAAGCCAGTACATGCCCGGCCCGTCTGTAGTTTGCTAGAGTGCATTTGGATGATCCAGAAGAGGATTGGGAGAATGTCATATGGTCAGATGGTAAAAACTCAACTCGTCGTGTTTGGAGGACAAAGAATGCTGAGTTGCATCCAAAGAACACCATACCTACTGTGAAGCATGGGGGTGGAAACATCATGCTTTGGGGCTGTTTTTCTGCAAAGGGACCAGGACGACTGATCCGTGTAAAGGAAAGAATGAATGGGGCCATGTATCGTGAGATTTTGAGTGAAAACCTCCTTCCATCAGCAAGGGCATTGAAGATGAAACGTGGCTGGGTCTTTCAGCATGACAATGATCCCAAACACACCGCCCGGGCAACGAAGGAGTGGCTTCGTAAGAAGCATTTCAAGGTCCTGGAGTGGCCTAGCCAGTCTCCAGATCTCAACCCCATAGAAAATCTTTGGAGGGAGTTGAAAGTCCGTGTTGCCCAGCGACAGCCCCAAAACATCACTGCTCTAGAGGAGATCTGCATGGAGGAATAGGCCAAAATACCAGCAACAGTGTGTGAAAACCTTGTGAATACTTTTGACCTGTGTCATTGCCAACAAAGGGTATATAACAAAGTATTGAGAAACTTTTGTTATTGACCAAATACTTATTTTCCACCATAATTTGCAAATAAATTCATAAAAAATCCTACAATGTGATTTTCCTGATATTTTTTTCTCATTTTGTCTGTCATAGTTGACGTGTACCTATGATAAAAAATTACAGGCCTCTCTCATCTTTTTAAGTGGGAGAAGTTGCACAATTGGTGGTTGACTAAATACTTTTTTTCCCCACTGTAGACAGGTGTGTGCTTTTCCAAATCATGTCCAATCAATTGAATTTACCACAGGTGGACTCCAATCAAGTTGTAGAAACACCAAGGATTATCAATGGATGCATCAGCGCTCAATTTCGAGTCTCAGAGCAAAAGGTATTTCTGTTTTTTATTTATTATAAATTTGCTACATTTTCTAAAAACCTGTTTTCGCTTTGTCATTATGGGGTATTGTGTGTAGATTGATGCCGAAAAAACTCAATGTAATCAATTTTAGAATAAGCCTGTAACGTAACAAAATGTGGAAAAAGTAAAGGGGTCTGAGTACTTTCCGAATGCACTGTATGTATAATTTGGTTGGAGATAGATGACATGATGATGTCCTTGCAAAAAGCCTTTCTTTTTGACCCGTATCAATTGATATTGATTGCTGCACTGTTGGGAAAGAGCAAGCAAAAAAGGCATTTCACTGTACTTGTGCACATGTCAATAAAAACATGAAACTGGAGACCTCTTTTTTTCTCTCTCCCTCTCATTCTCTCTCTCTCCATTCTACAAAAAAAGTAAGTTGAAGACAAAGTTAGCAAATGAAGATTGGCATCTCTGATATTTCCTCTTACGAGACAGAATCTCACCCATCACTTTCCACATCTCACTGTGTGTCAGTCCTCTGGTGACTTTCAGGAGGATGGGTGGTGGTGGTGTCATGGGTAATGTGTGACTCTGTGGTCCTTTGACTGACGGGTCCTGCTGGGTTCCTGTGCCAGGCTGGGTTGGGCAGTGCCCTCGTGGGTCAGACAGCTGCCAGGGAACGCAGGACGTAAGGCCCTCCTGCCACATCCCTACCCATCCCACACAGCCTGATCAGGGTCTGACAGAGGCCTGAGCGGCAGCAACCACAGAAACAGCATATGATTTGACTAACTAACCACTAACTGGTGAAGCACTTACTGTAAATACATTTGACATCTACATAAAAAAAAAAAAAAAAAATGGAAGTCATTTACATCTAAGTCATTTAGCAGACACTCTTATCCAGAGCGACTTACAGTTAGTGAGTGCATACATTATTTTAATTTTATGTTTCATACTGGCCCCCCATGGGAATCGAACCCACAACCCTGGCGTTGCAAACACCATGCTCTACCAACTGAGCTACATCCCTGCCGGCCATTCCCTCCCCTACCCTGGACGACGCTGGGCCAATTGTGCGCCGCCCCATGGGTCTCCCGGTCGCGGCCGGCTACAACAGAGCCTGGATTCAAACCAGGATCTCTAGTGGCACAGCTAGCACTGAGATGCAGTGCCTTAGACCACTGCGCCACTCGGGAGAACAAAATTATTTTACATCCATTATTTTAGTCACTTAGCAAACACGCATATCCAGGGCCACTTACAGTCATGTAATTGTGCATTTTATATAAGTGATGTGAACTTATTTGTGAATAGATTGATGATACATTCCCTGTTAGCATTTATAGCCACGTACAGTTGAAGTCGGAAGTTTACATACACTTAGGTTGGAGTCATTAAAACTAGTTTTTCAACCACTCCACAAATTTCTTGTTAACAAACTATAGTTTTGGCATGTCGGTTAGGACATCTACTTTGTGCATGACACAAGTCATTTTTCCAACAGTTGTTTACAGACAGATTATTTCACTTCTAATTCACTGTATCAAAATTCCAGTGGGTCAGAAGTTTCCATACACTAAGTTGACTGTGCCTTTAAACAGCTTGGAAAATTCCAGAAAATGATGTCATGGCTTTAGAAGCTTCTGATAGCCTAATTGACATAATTTGAGTCAATTGGAGGAGGTGTACCTGTGGATGTATTTCAAGGCCTACCTTCAAACTAAGTGCCTCTTTGCTTGACATCATGGGAAAATCAAAAGAAATGAGCCAAGACCTCAGAAAAAAAATTATAGACCACAAGTCTGGTTCATCCTTGGGAGCAATTTCCAAATGCCTGAAGGTACCACGTTCATTTGTACAAACAATAGTACGCAAGTATAAACACCATGGGACCACGCAGACATCATACTGCTCAGGAAAGAGACGCGTCCTGTCTCCTAGAGATTAAAGTGCAAATCAATCCCAGAACAACAGCAAATGACCTTGTGAAGATGCTGGAGGAAACAGGTACAAAAGTATCTATATCCACAGTAAATATACCTGAAAGGGCGATCAGCACTGCTCCAAAACCGCCATATAAAAGCCAGACTACGGTTTGCAACTGCACATGGGGACAAAGATCGTACTTTTTGGAGAAATGTCCTCTGGTCTGATGAAACAAAAATAGAACTGTTTGGCCATAATGACCATCGTTATGTTTGGAGGAAAAAGGGGATAGCTTACAAGCCGAAGAACACCATCCCAACCGTGAAGCACGGGGGTGGCAGCATCATGCTGTGGGGGTGCTTTGCTGCAGGAGGGACTGGTGCGCTTCACAAAATAGATGGCATCATGAGGAAGGAAAATTATGTGGATATATTGAAGCAACATCTCAAGACATCAGTCAGGAAGTTAAAACTTGGTCGCAAATGGGTCTTCCAAATGGGTCTTCCAAAATGGACAATGACCCCAAGCATACTTCCAAAGTTGTGGCAAATGGCTTAAGGACAACAAAGTCAAGGTATTGGAGTGGCCATCACAAAGCCCTGTCCTCAATCCTATAGAACATTTGTGGGCAGAACTGCAAAAGCGTGTGCGAGCAAGGAGGCCTACAAACCTGACTCAGTTACACCAGCTCTGTCAGGAGGAATGGGCCAAAATTCACCCAACTTATTGTGGGAAGTTTGTGGAAGGCTACTCGAAACGTTTGACCCAAGTTAAACAATTTAAAGGCAATGCTACCAAATACTAATTGAGTGTATGTAAACTTCTGACCCACTGGGAATGTGATGAAATAAATAAAAGCTGAAAGAAATCAATTTCTCTACTATTATTCAGACATTTCACATTCTTAAAATAAAGTGGTGATCCTAACTGACCTAAGACAGGGAATATTTACTAGGATTAAATGTCAGGAATTGTGAGAAACTGAGTTTAAATGTATTTTGCTAAGGTGTATGTAAACTTCCAACTTCAACTGTATATGGCAAGCAAATGAGCAGTCCTGTAATCTCGATCACCATCTGTGACCTTCGAAAGCCAACACGTGAACCGTATACTATAGAGTCAACCACATTTTCATTTTTGAGAGAAGGTACACTACAGGAGGGTCAAACCTCATATAATTCACATATTTCACTATATCCTATCTTGCATATGAACTGAGTCTAGACAGTGTCCAGACAGAATTAGTCTCCCACGGCTATGTAGAAAGTCAGGCACATCCCATTAGTAATAGCACAGTAGGCTAATGTCTCATGCTATCACTGCAGGTAGCCCCTGTCATGCTAATGTAGCATTGAGGATCTTTGAAGCCATCCTGGCTGTAATGACGTCTGAAGAACGCTTTTGAGGATGGAACCCTCTAGGGACTCATTAACGGAGAGGAGAAAGAGAGAAATATAGAAAGAGTGCGTGTGTGTGCCTGCCTGCGTGTGTGTGTGCTTTTTGAAGGAGGGGGCGTAGGGACAGATTGGTGGAAGATGGCTATTTTTGCCCAACTTCATGGGAATCTCAAGCTGTTTTCGAGTACAGAGAGACAGACTGTTGGTGGTGGTGGAGGAGGGTTATGCCCAAATTCACTGGGGTGGTAGGCATGTGGTGCCTTGGCAGAAACAGTGCCGGTGGAAAGCTTACTGAGTCACAGCATGCTTCGGTGTAGTGTGTCAGTAACTGATGTGTCCAGGGCCGTGCACACAGACAAGTGTATTTCTTTGTATTTCTTTTTTTTTTCAGGGGGTAGATCAGCTTTAATAGCAGATAGATTGTGGTTTCTATCAATGTAATTGTCTGCATCATTTCCAATTCCCCATATATATTCTATTTTGTAAATATATATATATATATATTTAAAAATATATATTTTCCTTCTTTATTATTTTCCCCTAACCTTACCACCCCTCCCCTAATTGGAATAAACTCATTAAATATGTATTTGCTAAAAGCAGTGTTGTAACATATGGCCATGAATATGGTGAAAGACCTCAATTAATTAGATAAAGGTAACGATAGGCAAGTGGGAAAACTATAATAGTGTGCAAAGCTGTCATCAAGGCAAAGGGTGGCTACTTTGAAGAATCTCAAATATAAAATATTTTGATTTGTTTATCACTTTTTTGGTTACTACATGATTCCACATGTGTTATTTCATAGTTTTGAAGTCTTCACTATTATTCTATAATGTAGAAAATAGTATAAATTAAGAAAAATCCTGGAATCAGTAGGTGTGTCCAAACTTTTGACTGGTATATATACAGTGAGGGAAAAAAGTATTTGATCCCCTGCTGATTTTGTACGTTTGCCCACTGACAAAGACATGATCAGTCTATAATTTTAATGGTAGGTTTATTTGAACAGTGAGAGACAGAATAACAACAACAAAATCCAGAAAAACGCATGTCAAAAATGTTATAAATTGATTTGCATTTTAATGAGGGAAATAAGTATTTGACTGTTTGAGGTTGTGGACAGGTGTATTTTATACTGATAACAAGTTCAAACAGGTGCCATTAATACAGGTAACGAGTGGAGGACAGAGGAGACTCTTAAAGAAGAAGTTACAGGTCTGTGAGAGCCAGAAATCTTGCTTGTTTGTAGGTGACCAAATACTTATTTTCCAGCATAATTTGCAAATAAAGTCATAAAAAATCCTACAATGTGATTTTCTGGATTTTTTTTTCTCAATTTGTCTGTCATAGTTGACGTGTACCTATGATGAAAATGACAGGCCTCTCTCATCTTTTTAAGTGGGAGAACTTGCACAATTGGTGGCTGACTAAATACTTTTTTTCCCCACTGTATATATTTCAATTGACCCAATTCCATCCCAATGAATCAAAACATTCTCACATATCAATTTCCGACTCACTTTTGTCAGATGGAAAGACTATGAAGGATCTATAGAAGCTGCAGCCATGAAGCGGTGCAGTGTATTCGTTACCGGGAAGATCTCACCATTTACATTCCCCTAACCCCATGCCTTTCATGCCGGGTCTGCTTTCAATATCAAAGCTGCTTTGGAGAGCCTCGGGTGGAATGATAACACTGAAAAGGAGGACTTAAGTGAGAAACGTAAGATCTTGAAAAGAGACGGAGGAGGAAAAAATGGCATATCAACCCTCCTTTAACTGACACAAACATTTCCAGAGCGAGTTGAATATGTGGGGAAATCTGAACATGACGTTTAAGTGTGATAAAACATCATTATGCGGCTCCATGAAACATAGCCATAGTTTGGGTTGATCCTTCCCTCAGATGGTGACATTAGAATGGCATATCACTGTGTGTGTATATGTGTGTGTGTGTCTTCCTCAGATTTTTTCCTAAAGAAATGCACCTGCAAGCTGTTGGAGATTACTCAAAAGATGTTTGAGATTTCTTGATAGAGTATGTGCTAGTTACAATGAGGGGAAAAAGTATTTGATCTCCTGCTGATTTTGTATGTTTGCCCACTGACAAAGACATGATCAGTCTATAATTTTAATGGTAGGTTTATTTGAACAGTGAGAGACAGAATAACAACAACAAAATCCAGAAAAACAAATGTCAAAAATGTTATAAATTGATTTGCATTTTAATGAGGGAAATAAGTATTTGACCCCTCTGCAAAACATGACTTAGTTCTTGGTGGCAAAACCTTTGTTGGCAATCACAGAGGTCAGACGTTTCTTGTAGTTGGCCACCAGGTTTGCACACATCTCAGGAGGGATTTTGTCCCACTCCTCTTTGCAGATCTTCTCCAAGTCATTAAGGTTTCGAGGCTGATGTTTGGCAACTCGAACCTTCAGCTCCCTCCACAGATGTTCTATGGGATTAAGGTCTGGAGACTGGCTAGGCCACTCCAGGACCTTAATGTGCTTCTGCTTGAGCCACTCCTTTGTTGCCTTGGCCGTGTGTTTTGGGTCATTGTCATGCTGGAATACCCATCCACGACCCATTTTCAATGCCCTGGCTGAGGGAAGGAGGTTCTCACCCAAGATTTGACGGTACATGGCCCCGTCCATCGTCCCTTTGATGCGGTGAAGTTGTCCTGTCCCCTTAGCAGAAAAACACCCCCAAAGCATAATGTTTCCATCTCCATGTTTGACGGTGGGGATGGTGTTATTGGGGTCATAGGCAGCATTCCTCCTCCTCCAAACATGGCGAGTTGAGTTGACGCCAAAGAGCTCGATTTTGGTCTCTTCTGACCACAACACTTTCACCCAGTTCTCCTCTGAATCATTCAGATGTTCATTGGCAAACTTCAGGCGGGCCTGTCTATGTGCTTTCTTGAGCAGGGGGACCTTGCGGGCTCTGCAGGATTTCAGTCCTTCACGACGTAGTGTGTTACCAATTGTTTTCTTGGTGACTATGGTCCCAGCTGCCTTGAGATCATTGACAAGATCCTCCCGTGTAGTTCTGGGCTGATTCCTCACCGTTCTCATGATCATTGCAACTCCACGAGGTGAGATCTTGCATGGAGCCCCAGGCCGAGGGAGATTGACAGTTATTTTGTGTTTCTTCTTTTTGCGAATAATCGCACCAACTGTTGTCACCTTCTCACCAAGCTGCTTGGCGATGGTCTTGTAGCCCATTCCAGCCTTGTGTAGATCTACAATCTTGTCCCTGACATCCTTGGAGAGCTCTTTGGTCTTGGCCATGGTGAAGAGTTTGGAATCTGATTGATTGATTGCTTCTGTGGACAGGTGTCTTTTATACAGGTAACAAACTGAGATTAGGAGCACTCCCTTTAAGAGTGTGCTCCTAATCCCAGCTCGTTACCTGTATAAAAGACACCTGGGAGCCAGAACTCTTTCTGATTGAGAGGGGGTCAAATACAACAAAAGAGTGGCTCAAGAAGAAGCACATTAAGGTCCTGGAGTGGCCTAGCCAGTCTCCAGACCTTAATCCCATAGAAAATCTGTGGAGGGAGCTTTTTTCCCTCACTGTACATGCATGCCATGTGTGTTTGTGTGTGTATGTGTGTGCGTGCACAAGACTACATGATATCACTGTACTGTTTCTCAGCCAATGGGTGAAGTTGAATAATGATGAAAAGAAACCTATACAGTGGAAGAAGATAATGTAGATGATATTTGACAGGTGGCTGATTAAAGCTAAACAGTAAGACCTCATTCAATTGAGAGAGATTGATCCAAGTGGCATGAACTCATGGAAAGATTGAAACAATATTTATTAAAAAGTGAAACAGAAAGACTGAATTACCAGGGATGCATGTCAGGGGTGCTGAAGGTGGGTGTGGTGCAGGAATCAAGCGCAGGACGCAGAAACTAAGTCCAAAAGACTTTAGTGAAATATTCACGTAGTACACGAGCAAACAAGCCCGGAGGCGAGAATAAAGGTGCACACAGGCGTCAAACAATAGGTGCACTAACATGTGCGAAAACCTCTCCAAAACAACGGAGGGAAACACGTAGCTCAGAACACCAAACAGAAGAGCAATCACACACAACACCTGACACACACAACGAGAACTAAATAGGACACTAATGAGGACTAACTAGACACAGGTGTACAACATCAAGACAAAACCAAACGAACATGAAACATAGATCGGTGGCAGCTAGTACTCCGGGGGGGACGACCGCCGAAACCTGCCCGAACAAGGAGGAGGAGCAGCCTCGGCCGAAACCGTGACAATGCATTTGATTTTGATGGGGCCAAAAGCAACTTCAAAATACACAAGATTTTTAAAACTCACACTATGATGATGATCCTTTACTTTGTTTATATATGAATGTAACTGGAATTTGTGTTATGTCTTTGTAACTTGTAATCTGTAAGAGACATGAAGTAGAGTTTTTTTTTTATTGTATGGTGTTTTATTGTATTATTTTCTAAAACCTTTTCTAAAAAATATCACATTTCAATGTACACATCATGCTTAGCTTATACTGCCTCTCTGTGTGCAACTCTTCTGCATAAGCTAGGTGATCTCCATCCTCCCAATCCTACTTTACCACAGTGTCAACCCCTCCCTGTGAGCCTGTGTGTGTGTGTGTGACCTCTCTGCTGTGTCCTGTGGATAGGGGGTGTAAAGAGAGGAAGCACTCCCTACCTCTATCCTCATCATTCACTTCCACACAGTAAACAACACCCTCCAGGTAGTGGCACTGATGAGGGGAGCACCCCACTAACTGGGGACGTGCGAATGGCAGGTTTGTGTGTGTTTGTGTGCCTGTGTGTGTGTGCCCGTGCGTGCATGTGACATGTGCATGTACATGTGAGTCAGTCCATTATGCCTGTGTCCTGGCCTCTTGTGTGTTTAAGGTGTTAAGTGTATGTCTATCTGTGAGAGATGGGAGATGGAGAGAACATGCTCTGTCGCCTCAGCCCGATCTCTCACGCACTATCAGCAGGCTTCCCCACATCGTGTCAGTGCTTTCTTCAGTCTACTCTCCCCAGGAGACTTCCAGACAGGACCCACACACAGATAATGACTTGCCCTGATTCCCTCCTCCCTTCCCTCCTCCATTTCTGCAGTTCCACTGCCAGAAGAGGTGGGCTGACCCCAGAATAGTCCCTGAGCGCCAGTCCATTTCCAGGAACCTGCTAGGCATCGCAACAGGTCTGGGGGTATCTGACGTCAGAGACGAGGTAGACTGGGGTACTTTAGTACCTCAGCCCACCATGAAAGGCTTCTACACCTTTCCACAGAGATACTGATGTACAGATATTTAGAAGCAAGGGGGTGAAACTTTCCAGGTCCTCAAACGGTTTGTTCTCTCTCTCTTGCTGTGTAATGTGAGTGTTTGCCGCAACACGCAGGTAAATGCTGCTTCATTTTGGGATCAGTGCCTCAAAAAGTTTGAGTTTATCCAATCCGCCTCTGACCAAACGAAACCTCCAGAAGTCTGTCAATCTCTAACATGAACACAAACAGACATGCTCTCTGCTGAGTCTTCTTGAAGCCAAGAAAGCCGTACAGGGAGGCATTTTTGCAAAAAGCTCTACTCGGAGGGAAAAAAGTTGACGGACGCTTTGCCCCAGGAGGGACTTAATGGCATGCTGAAGGCTTTCAAATGGAGGGGAAGCTTGGCCGTTGTGCAGCGCCCTAAGTAAACCCACTCCAGAATGACACAATGCTGTTGGTGCGGGCCAAGCTTGCTTGTTCTACATTACTCACTCAAACACACAGGCACGCACATGCCACTCCACCCTTCATAGCCCTTTCCTGCAGTCAAATGACCTAGTGGCCTCATGAGTGGAATTGTCACGACTTCCACCGAGGCTGCCCCACCTCCTGGTTTGGGCAGGCTTCGGTGTTCGTCGTCACCGGAGTACTAGCTACTGCCGATCCCATTCTCATCACTCCACTTGTCATGTCTTGTCAATCACACACACCTGGTGCTCATTCCCCTAATTAGTATGTGTATAAGTGTTCCCTCTGTCCCCCTTGTCTTTGTGAGTGATTGTTTTGTTGTGAGAGCGTGTAGCTCGGTTGAGCTACATTTCACTGTGTTATTGCCAAGGTGGATGTTTTCCCTTGTACAGTTTTGTTTGACGCTTGGGCCGTTTGATTTATGCAAACGGATTAAACTCTGGACTTCAGTATTTTACCTCCTGCGCCTGACTCCTTCTTTCACACTTCGTCACAGGAATGTTATTAATATTTTTTATAATTTCATAATTAATAAACGTTCTTTCAAAAACCCGCCGAAAATCAAGTGTTTCTATGTCAAACGGTTTTGTTATATTTCAGTCTTCTGTGATGTATATAAAGTGTAATATTGGGATACAAACTCAAATTTGAATATATTGTCAACTCTATATCTGACATGGTACAGGTGTCTTCTTTTTTGTAAGCCCATAACCATGTGTGTGAGATGTATACTTTTGTTTCAAAGTAGATTTGTTTAAGACTACCAAGAAACACTGTGTGACCCTGATTTAGCCCACTGCAGTAAAGGGTTAATCACTACGCACAGCATAGCATACCCCCTCAAACAAAGCAGTCAATCTATCTCCACCCACTGTCATGCCAACCCTGGACAGGGCATTGGTGACACCGTAAAGTAAGAAATGTCATGCTCCGTATGGAGTAAATTACCCAGAATTAGTGTCATTTTCCATGCTGCCATAGTCACGTTTTGCCATCTTTCATTGCATAGCACAGAATAAAATGTAAACGCTGATGGAGGGGATATTGTAGAGTGCTTGAAATGGGAAAAGAACACTCAAAGAAGGAAAGGTGTGCAAAACTTGAGACAACAAACGGATACTTTTTAGAGCTAAAATGCTGGACAGGGATTTATAATACCAGCATGACATGCAAAAGTGTATAGTAGAGCCAAAATGGAGTCCAAGACGAGAACGAGGGACACGCCAGGACTCCAAGAGCTAGCCAGAGTAATGGAGAAAATAAGCCATGGTCCTGCCGTCCCAAAGTGAAACCAAATACCCAGTGAAACCAAACCGTTGGTTTTTATTTAGCACTGTTTACAAACCTGCCTCGTAAAAAAGCCGAAGGGAGCGGCGGCCATTTCCTTGCTGATGGCATTGCAGCTCATACGGCTCCACCACTGGGAGCCATCTGCTTTTCCTGTGTTTATGTCTCTCAGGACCCCGTTTAAATATGACGGAAGACGCCAGCGATAGAGCCTGCTTTTAAATCTCTGACTCTCGGTCACTGACTTGCATGTACCAGTCGGTCTGTTTGTGTGCGGGGAAGGGGGAGTCCTGAGTGTGTGCGTGTGTACCAGTCAGTCTGTCTGACAGACTCTGTCATGCCTGGCCTGGTCGTCCACAATTGGATCAGAGGGATATCCAGTAAAAACTGGCATTTAGATTTAGAGACATCCTCTGAGGACTGTCGCTGCCTGTTCTGTTCCCTGGGAGAGGAAGAACACTCCCTTCCTTCTGAGCGAGATAAAAGGACGACAGCCCAAAGCACAGTTAAAAACATGTATGTTTCACTGAGGCAAAGCTCCTCAGAGTCTGTGAGACAACTGAATTAAAATGCATAATTCTCTAATTAACGCACCAGATGCTCGTAAGCCAAGGCATGTTCAGTGCAGAAACTGGGTAGTAAGACACTCAAATTATGTACAATATAGACCAGAGTATCAAACATTAAGTACAGTGCAATGTAGCAGATGTTCACAAGCCACAAGACATGCTCAGTGCATAAAATGCACAAAATAATGTAGCTCCACATTATATAATATACAGTATACTGTACAATAGTACTGTACAGTATAGAATAATATATACCATTTAGCATACGCTTTTATCCAAATGACTTAGTTATGCGTGCATTCATTTTTCACATATGGTTGGTCCAGGGAATCGAACCCACTATCCTGGCATAGCAAGCGCCATGCTCTACCAACTGAGCTATAGAGGATCACAGAACAAGGTTAGGACCTGTCAGAGAATCAGACACCCACAGAGCTGTCATGAAGCATAAGGCTGCATCACCATTTCTCCAGGGTACTGGATACAGCATCCCCAGTCTCCTCTGCTGTTCTCTAAGGTCAGGAAGCCCTGCTATCACAGCAGTGAGAGGCACCATACATTGGACCACTCCTCTGCTTGTGCCAGTGATTGGGACACCCAGTAGTTTTTGTTAGTACTGGTAAATCCATGTCGGACATAAAATAAAAAAAATCCCATTGAGGCTTTCATTGGAAATTATACATTATACTTGCCTGTGTTGTCTTCTAGGCCGTAGTTAACTCTAACTATCTTTCATCCCAATATCTAATAAAATCAAATCTCCACGTGTGGGAAATCTTGGGGCTCACGCCAAGCAGAGGAAAGGCCATACAGTATGTTGCAGCCAAGAAATCAGAGCCTGGTTGGCATGCAGCGCAGGCCTAGTTCATTGTTGGTTGGGAATGATTCACATAGCAGCCGTTAAAGCTATGTTTGTTTACTCCCAGCCACCAGGGGCAACTGTTTCTTTATCGTTCTCTCTGTCGCTCTCTTACTTCCACACACACTCTCACTCTCACTCTCTCTCTCTCTCTCTCTCTCTCTCTCCTCTCGTCCTCTCTCCTCTCTCTCTCTCTCTCTCTCCTCTCTCTCTCTCCTCCTCTCGCGCTCTCTCTCCTCTCTTCGTCTCTCTCTCTCTCTCTCTCCTCTCCTCTCTCCTCTCTCTCTCTCTCTCTCTCTCCTCTCTCTCTCCTCTCTCCTCTCTCGCCCTCTCTCTCTCTCTCTCTCTCTCTCTCTCTGGCCTGAGGGCAGCTATTCTCACAACAAGACTAAGATCTAACAAGGCTTATTCATTTAACTAACACAAATAATGCCAATAGGCTTGAAACCAGTCCACTCAAGGTGTAAAGCAGTAACACTTTGCTATGAAAGCAATAGTGCTTATCGGCCTTCTCGCCGGCTAAGTAGAAATGTATAATTTATAGCTGGTACTTAAGAGGTGTTTGGCACTCGCAAGGCCACTAAAGACTGAAGACGCACAATCCCAAAGGCTGTGTATTATCCTGAACACTTTACACAAGGCTGTTATCTGATGGGAGCATCTTGTCTAAGGGGCAAAAGGCTTTATCTATCTATGGGCTCAGGGATTTGAACCCTCAACCTCGACTGATCATTTTGTGAAGCACGGCGATGATGACTGTGCCACTTTGCTGCCCAAATGTCACCCTGCCCTTTCTCTCTATTCTGAAAAGCCTGTCAGAGGGGCCCGGGAGTCCTCGCTAATTACTGTTCCCTTTTGTGTGGGTGTGGGTGGGTGTGTGTGTGCATGTGTGTGCCTGTATGTGTGCGTGTGTGTGTGTGTGCTCGGTGGCAAAAGACAGACTGTGCCTGTTTAAAGGTCACAGTAAACTGGTGTATCAGCGAGTGAGAGACGGCACGTACACTACAGACGCCTGCTATCTACACTACAGAGCACTAACAGAGTAGGATAGGTGCTATAATATGTGCTCCAATGTGCACTTTCTGGCAAACAGGGAATTATTAGCTTAGCAATTAAATGACAGATCACATTTCTTATCAAGGAGCTACTTATTACTGTAGATGAGTGCATACTTCATCATAAAAAATGTGTGTGTATGTGCGTGCATGTATGCACGCGTGTGCATGTATTCATGTGTGTGTGTGCATGTGCATAAGACAAATATAGATCTTAACACGTGCTCCCAACCCCTGCCTCTCCTCCTGCCTCCTCACCTTTCCTGGCTGTGTTGCTCCTTCCTTGTGGTGGCGGCACAAGGTGATTTAGAAGTTGTTTAGTGCGGGGGAAAGAAAGGCTCGCAGCAAGCAGAGTCAGCGGAATGGCCTCCCTGTTCTGTGCATAGCTCCCTGCTATGTGTCTAATGGCTCCTCTACATATGGAGCCTCCCTGGTGAGCTCAACTGCTAATTACTATATAGCACCTTCCCCTACTCCTCTCCTCCCTCCAAAAATAAGGACATACCACTCAGCACAACTTCTCTCCATCTCTCCCTCCTTCATTTCTCTCCTTCCTTCCCTCCTTCGTTCCACTGTTTGCTTTGTTTCTCTCCTCTCTCTTCTTCTTCTCTTCTCTCTGCCTCTCTTAAACAGATACTTCGGGATTTTGGCAATGAGACTATGGGTAACTGCTAGCATGCTGGGGAAGTAGATAAAGGGCATCATTGCCAAAATCCTAAAGTATCCCTTTACACTGTTGACCCAACACAGAGTCTCTAGACCTATAGACTTCATTCAGACACCAAACTTTGTATATAGGAGCAATGTCTATAGGATCTCTATACCGATCGGGTGGTGGGATAAACATCTTGTGTCATGGGAGCCTCCATGCATTGCTTCCGGGATGGGATAGTCTGGGCGCTCAACTAAACCACAGCCCCATTAAAAGGTTGTTATTAAAATGGGTGCAGTGGAGCGGACGGGGTGTGTGCGTGCATGTGTGTGAGCCATGCTAATGGGGCGTAGAGAGGTGCAGTGATTCTGAGAGGCTATATGGGGAGGGAGAGAGAGAGAGCGAGAGGCGAGGCAAGCGTGAGCTGCCCGTGGCCACAATCAATTACAAAGTGTTGGGCTTCATGCTCTAACCCGACGCATAAATGTCAGCCAGTTTCCCCAATGCACGCCTCCATTTGCATCCATTGCTGCGGTGGAGAGGAGACTCAACCTCATGTGTTTTTGATGGAGGGTAAGAGGGAGGGAGAAAGGGAGACTATTAGGGGACAGTGGGAGAGATTGCTGTGGGATTGAGTGGTGCTTACTTACAGTATTTACTGATGGCTATGAAATGCTATGAATGATGGCACGCCACAGCTCTGTCTACTTCGTAGAAACTGTGAGGCTCTCTGTTCTGAGTGCTGATCTAGGATCTATCCATATAATCTTATTCATTATGATCTAAAAGGCAAAACTGATCCTAGATCAGCACTGAAATCTGAGAGGATTTGTGTATACGGGCCCTGGTCATATAACACAACCATGTATACAGAGGTGCTCCATCACATATTTATCTTCTGCATTTCCAAAATATGAAAGACATAGAGGGAGAAAGAGACAGAAATGGAGAGAGAGAGAGCGGGACAGAGAGAGAGAGAGAAAGAGGGACAGAGAGAGAGAGAGAGAGACAGAGAGAGACAGAGAGAGAGAGAGTCAGAGAGAGCAAGACAGAGAGCATGCGAGAGAGAGAGAGAGCGATAGAGCGAGAGAGATAGACAGAGCGATAGACAGAGAGAGAGAGCGAGAGAGAGAAAAAGAGAGAGTGAGAGCATGACACCTGAGGACAGAGGTCTATGAGAATGGCCTCTCTGTATGATCCTGCGGTGCAGAAGAGAGAAGACCGGAAAAGAGAGGAAGAGAGAGGAAGAGAGGAGAAAGAACACACAGCGTAGAGCCAGACGGTTGGAGGGACCGACACAGCTGCGATAGCGATTAGGGCCCTTATGTATTAAACATACCTTTGTAGAGCAGGCTGAGGAGAGGAAAGGAGAAGAAAAGAGGGAAATGGAGAGGATGAGAGGGAAGAGGAGGGAGGGACAGTAGCCAGCAGAGCTTCTGACTCATCCCTCTGTCTAAACGAAAGTAGATGTGTGTGTGTGCGTGTGTGTGAATGTGTGTGTCAGGAGAAGTGAAAGCTGTTCCCCTGCAGGTCCAGAGTCTCTGAATGGCCTCCAACACACAGTCATTATAGGCTGACAGGGACACTTATATACCGCCACCAAACAGCTCCTTCTTTTCTATTCCTCCGCTAGCTACTGCACCTCTCACCGCTCCCTCTCTTCCTCTTTCACGTTCATTTACTTCTCTCCCTCCGGCTAGCTATAACTACTCCAGTCTTCCATGACTGACACTGTTTCATAGAGATTTGAAGCTTAATAGATGGAAGACGATAAGTGGCTGTTAAATAATGAGGCGCTATTCAATCAAAAATGGTGCAAGGTTTCAAAGGTTTCTGTTTTTGTATTCATGTGTGTGAAAAAACAATGTTTACAGTATGAAACCAAAATAATACTCACTGATTATGACAGACAGATGAATTGAAACACGCTTTTTCCTTGTGTCAGGAAAGGGTTATTTTCGCTGTATCCTGGACACCCGGGCCATATGTTATAGAGAAGGAGGTATTCATAAGATGTTAACCAGCACACTGCTGAACCTGTCAGTTTCCCTCAAGCTGATCTGCTTGATTGGCTGAATGGGATGCTACTGTTTATGCATAATCCTGTCTCGGCTACTGTACATGTATATGCATTTTAAAATAGCTCAACATGCAAAATCTTGCAGTTGCTTGGGCACGTTTCAAAGGCAGAACTGCATGATCGTGACACAGGCTGTAGTCAGTCAGTTGGGGTGGATCTGGTTCAGGGAATTGGGGAAAGATCAAATGTATTGGTCATGCCACAGGGAAATAAGGACATGCTCCCCAATAAAAAGGGGATTGCTCCCTCCAGTCAACCGTGATTTCATAATACTACACTTTTGTAGAACTCTTTTCGGCCTCTCACATCCTTAAACATATGCCCTCACGACGGCCAAAAACAGCCCCCCAATATCATTCTCCTGCCCATTGTTTTCGTCCATTTACGACCCTTGAGACACTTTTCAACTAAAACCCCTCATTGTTGTATTAACCCTGGAGAGAGGGGATGCCAGAGCCAACAGAACCAAAGAGCCAAAGAAGCCAGAGAGCCAAAGCAACGGGCTTCCAGTAGAAAAGCCACAACACAAACGAGCTATTGGCAGGGTCCGGAGAGGCAGTATTTTTCCAAAAGTGATTACCTTCTCTCCCTTTTTCCCTCCCTCACACAGACAAGCTGCCCCTGGCAGCTGCTTCTACTATGCGTCTCCCTGGGCACTTGGCGGAGCAGGGGAGCCGGTTCAGGAACCCTCCACATGCAAATCACGTGGAAAACTGTCAAGGCTTTTCTCTGGGAGGGCCACTCTTTCCAAAGCCATGAAACAGAGCCTGATTAGCGCTCCACGCCAGTGTCAAACCTCCGGAAACCAACATCAGCTTTGGAGAGGGAGTCTTTGTTGGAGCCCCTACTGTTCAAACGCCAGGCATGTTGTAGTAGTGGGTTCATCGTGATTCTCCAGGTGTAAGCCCTCCTGGTTGACTGAGCGATGTTACACTGAATGTTTACAATTAGTGACATTACACACACAGCTGAAGATGTCAAACCTCATAGGTTATTGACAATGTGGAGAGAGCTATAGATCTGCACAGCTGGGTCAGAATAGTGAAATATTGTGAACAAAATCTGTGTCAAAAGTCAACATTTGAGAGCCAACCGTAAAAGCAAATACAGTAATACCAATGCAAATATGAAGTATATTGTAGTACCACATAAGTAAAACACCATTATGTACAGACAAAATGTCATGTATACCTCTGGTGAGTCAGATATGACCAGGGGCCACCAGACAGCATACAAACAGATCATAATCCTCTTTCGTAATTGGACACATGAGACATGTTGTCATTGACCAATGAGACTGGAGCAGATGGCAACACAGGCGCAATCAACCCTTCTACTCTACTCTGTCTCTTACAGCGATACGCCAAAGGCAGAGATCGAGGCATTATTTCAAACTCCCCTCATCCACCCCTCCTTATTCAAAGTGAAAGATATCTCTCAACTCCTATCAAAGAACCTTCTTCCTCTGAGACCCCCCACTGAGTGCGCCCACTAAGAGCTCCACCCCCCTCCTCACCGACCCCCATCCTCTCAGCCCCTAATGCACAGCCAATGAGATTATCCCCGTTCATGTAGGCCTTGAATTACTCACGTTATGACTTGATTGGCCAATAATTCGATTGGAGGCACATTTATACTTCCTCTGGTTCTCTCAGACCCCATCGACTCTCTTTCACTCTTTCTCTCTGCCTCCCTCCCTCTCAAGGCAACACTGTGCCATCAGCTAGCTATCGAAGCAGGTGTGACCATTTCCATGGAGATTGATGAACCACTTTATCAGGAAAAGGGCTCAGATCCGGATACAACAACCACACAGTTTCTCACAAAGCCCTTTTTTGCCTTTTCATTCAATTGCCACTGCTTTTGTAAACATCCATGTTCTTGCTTTTAGTAAAAACTTGTTAGGGAATACTATATGCCTATTGTCATGGTGAATACTAAACAAGGTTACAGCTTGAAAAACCGTCCCACGCCTGCGCCTGTAGAGCTGAGCAGTGCCAGGCCAGATGGAGAATAATGTGATGTACTGAAGGGGTGTTCATCATAAAGAGGATGAGCTCTGTGTGTAGCATCCACTAAATCTGGCTCAAAGGTTGGAGAGGGAGTGATCGTTATTCAAGATGGCAATGGCTCCCAACCTACCGTCTGTTCCAGATCTTTCTTATAGCGAACGTCGGTCAGTGAACGTCCCTGGCTTGGCTCGGAAGATCGCTCCTTGAATCCTTCTTCTCTTCTAACACAGTCCTGGAGCAGCACACCTTCAACAGGCCTAGGCTATCCAGAACTCGCAAAACACAAAAGTACCCTGAAATTCCTCTGATGGGTCTTGACAAGGCCGTTTGGCGAATGTACTGTACAATTCATACGCAATTGATTTGTTCACACAAGGAACTAGCAGAAGTAATGTCAAGGATTTCCTGTTTGAGTATCATGTTAAGTAAATGTATATTATTTGAAAATCGGATGTAAACATTGCTGTCAGACTGGCTAGGAAGGAAAAGAGCATTAACCATTGTACGATGCGCAGCAGCCTAAAATATTGAACGGTTTAGAGTCAGATTACACAACATGGAACCTAAAGATGTGATACTATTTGACTGCTTGCTTCGTAATACATTTGAAAGTTAGCATGTTCTTCCATCGGTTATTGCAGGAGGCATCTGTATGAACGTCACATCCCAGAAGAGAGAGAGAACGTCACATCCCAGAAGAGAGAGAGAACGCCAGAGAGGATGCTCCTTGTGCATACATCTGTCTCTCTCTCTGTGTCTCGGTCTCTCTCTCTCTCACTCTCTGTAGTTGATGGCAATCTCACGTCTGGTTTTCTCTCTTGTCTTGTCTACTGTTTTCTCCATTACTTCTTCAGTTGTCAGACTCCCAAAGACTAGCCATCTGGTTTCAATCAGGTCTGCTCTGCACCAAACATAACAACACAGGGACAACACAGACATGTAGCCGTGTAAACACATAAACACGGAGGACGTGATGAGCACGCAACACATAAACACTGGAGGAATCACACACAACAACTAAATTATATAATGACAAAACTACAAAGGCTAAATACTAAGACAATACCAGAGGGGAGGATGCGAGTTAGACTACGACTACTGTAAAGACAACTCTAACCAAAAGATAACATTAAGATAGCATGATGATTATACTAGGTGTTGCAACACAAAGCCATTGCCTTGATTGCAAGATGATAACACACGGACAACAAAGAGATAACCCTAACATTAAAGAGATAACACTAAGACAACATTGCAAAAGTACAAAGACAATGCCATGATAACAGTGGCACAGCACAGACGCAACACAAACATAGCGCACAGACCAAATATGAGAAGCCAGACACAATAAACACGGTATAGGAGGAGCACCCTTAGCACAGGAAGCTAGAAGCAAGTGAGACATAACCAAGGCAAAGACATAACAGACTCATCACAGGTTGAGACACAACAACAACTCTGCAGCAAATTACAGACGACAGAACGCAGACAAAAGTTTTACAATTTTCTACATTGTAGAATAATAGTGAAGACATCAAAACTATGAAATAACACATATGGAATCATGTAGTACACAAAAAAGTGTTAAACAAATCAAAATATATTTGAGATTTGAGATTCTTCAAATAGCCAGCTTTTGCCTTGATGACAGCTTTGCACACTCTTGGCATTCTCTCAACCAGCTTCACCTGGAATGCTTTTCCAACAGTCTTGAAGGAGTTCCCACATATGCTACTTTTCCTTCACTCTGCAGCCCAACTCATCCCAAACCATCTCAATTTGGTTGAGGTCGGGGATTGTGGAGGCCACGTCATCTGATGCAGCACTCCATCACTCTCCTTCTTGGTAAAATAGCCCTTACACAGCCTGGAGGTGTGTTGGGTCATTGTCCTGTTGAAAAACAAATGATAGTCCCACTAAGCCCAAACCAGATGGGATGGCGTATCGCTGCAGAATGCTGTGGTAGCCATGCTGGTTAAGTGTGCCTTGAATTCGAAATAAATCACAGACAATGTCACCAGCAAAGCATCCCCACACCATAACACCTCCTCCTCCATGCTTTACAGTGGGGAATGCACATGCGGAGATCATCCATTCACCCACACCGCGTCTCACAAATACACGGCGGTTGGAACCAAAAATCTCAAATTTGGACTCCAGACCAAAGGACACATTTCCACCAGTCTAATGTCCATTGCTCGTGTTTCTTGGCCCAAGCAAGTCTCTTCTTATTATTGGTGTCCTTTAGTAGTGGTTTCTTTGCAGCAATTCGACCATGAAGGCCTGATTCACATGGTCTCGAAACAGTTGATGTTGAGATGTGTCTGTTACTTGAACTATGTGAAGCATTTATTTGGGCTGCAATTTCTGAGGCTGGTAACTAATGAACTTATCCTCTGCAGCAGAGGTAACTCTGGGTCTTCCATTCCTGTGGCGGTCCTCATGAGAGCCAGTTTCATCATAGCGCTTGATGGTTTTTGCGACTGCACTTAAAGAAACGTTCAAAGTTCTTGAAATGTTCCGTATTGACTGACCTTCATGTCTTAACGTAATGATGGACTGACATTTCTCTTTGCTTATTTGAGCTGTTCGTGCCATAATATGGACTTGGTCTTTTACCAAATAGGGCAATCTTCTGAATACTCCCTGCTACCTTGTCACAACACAACTGATTGTCTCAAATGCATTAATTCCACAAATTCACTTTTAAGAAGGCACACCTGTTAATTGAAATGCATTCCAGGTGACTATCTCATGAAGCTGGTTGAGAGAATGCTAAGCGTGTGCAAAGCTGTCATCAAAGCAAAGGGTGGCTATTTGAAGAATCTCAAATATAAAATATATTTTGATTTGTTTAACACTTTTTTGGTTACTACATGATTCCATATGTGTTATTTCCTAGTTTTGATGTCTTCACTATTATTCTACAATGTAGAATATAGTAATAATTAAGAAAAATCCTTGAATGAGTAGGTGTTCTAAAACCTTTGTCTGGTAGTGTAGATATTTCACTATGATTTTACAAGCGCATACAGCCGAACATGCATCATCCACCCAGATCCACACAGGGCTCAAGGTTAACAGCCTTGGAGGAGGGCTCGGTCTGTTTTTAGGATGTGCTGATGTACAGTATGTTTTGTAGGGTAAACAACCCCGGATGGCGAAATGTGGCGTGGAGGAATCACCCCGCAGAGGGTGATAATTTCTACCCCCAGTATCAAGCCTGCCCCCGTGGTCTCTGAACTGCTGACTGGCTCTCACTCTGCTCTGACTGGGGCCCTGGAGACAGCTTCATTAGTGAACTCTGAACAGCCCCCCTCTTCACACACACGTATTCGCGCACATACATGAACACAAGCATGCACACACACACACGCTAACACGCACGCAACACACCTCCCCTGCTCAATAACAAGCATTCAGCAGAAGATGCAGATTTGACATTAACTTCTCTATTCTTTTTTTGTTGTTGTTGACCTTTCACCCCCCACTCAGAGATCACTAGCAGAGACTGGACAGACACACTGCCACACACAGTGACATTCAGATGGAGGGGAAAAAACAGCAGTGCCAAAGCCAGAGCCCACTACTTCCCCAGTTCCCTCTCCCTCATTAGTCTGAATAAGAGACATGGGTGTCACAGTTCCCCATCCATCAACAGTCACTAGGCAGGCCCTGGCTGACGCGTGGGCCCTTTGACATGGCCAGAGCTCTATGCTGCTCTGTCTCAGAGTCCTCCTACAGTACAGCCCCCACCAATATGATGGAAACTGTCAGCGTAATTTAACATGGCATGCCTGCACAATTCATTAGGGCCCTGCAGAGAGAGAACGAGAGCGAGAGAACCAGAGAGAGAGAGAGAGAGAGAGACAGCGAGAACCAGAGAGAGAGAACGAGACAGAGAGAAAGAGAGCGAGGGATGGTGATGGTGGGGGGACAGACGACCAAAAAGAGACAGAGACAGACAGAGAGTGATGAACCGGTGACAGCCAGCCAGTCATGGGATGAGAAGGACAAACCCGACCATGATCCTCACTCCAAGCTGTGTGATTAGTCTCTCGTTATGGCCAGGCACGTAACACGGTCGGCACTATTTGTTTGTGTTACCATCGGCAGCCAGTCGAAATCCAAACAGACTGTGCAGCAGCGCCCAGAATTAACATTAAATCTTAATTACGTTGAGAGGCTTTCTCAGTGCAGTAGAAATGTAAACTCACGCAGACAGGAGCTCTAAGCCCTGAATATGTAACTGTGCTATGGTGGGAGGGTACCTTAATCGTGTTACATTTTCTAGTGAATTAAAGATAGCTTGGCTGGTGGGGCTTTCGTTCGTCTACTGTGTGTGTGTTACACAGTAAGGCCGTTGTGAGGCGGTGGATTAATGTGTGTTTAGATAGAAGAACCTACAGATTAATTACCCCTAGCAATGTAACTTCATGCATAAATTATATCTTATTCTCGCCATCTAAATGTATGGAAGCTAAATTCATACATTATGATAGCATAGTGCTATAAAAAAAAACGAATTACATGATGAGGATTATTTGGTTTATTAGATAAGCCATGTCTGTGTGAATGTGAAAATAAGCTGTTTCAGGAGCACGAGCACAGTGCTCGTCATTCAATGTCATTTGGAGTCCCTTAGCTTTAAATAGCTCCTACTTCACTGCATGGTTTAGGTTGGCACTCATGTGGTATTTTCCTGCTGGTTCAGTCGGAGGGGAAACTCACAGTTCACAGTTTCCAGGCTGTAAGGGGAAATTGCCCTCTCATGCCTCGTGAAGGATGATAGGAAGAGGAAAATGATGGCAGAGAAATCCCCCCTGAAAATACATTGTCAAGGAGTAGTCTCCTTTAAAATGTGTGGAAACGGCGAAATAGTAGGCGTCCATCACACACATTTTAAAGAAAATACATGGTCAAGAAGTCTCTCCTCTCCTTTAAAATTCTGTTGATACGCCGAAGTCCACCCACCACACAGAATACTAAGAAGAGCGTTGGTTGGGATTGCGAAACCTCCAGTTATAAGAAAGTCTACGAGGGAGCTGTTAGTGGAGCATAGATTTAAACATATCTATAATGTGTGTAGTCAGGGCTGTGCATGCTGGCAGAGAGGGTAGACAAGGGAGGGGTAGGGAGGAGGGCTGGAGATGCTGGCATTGAGGAATCTAATCCCCGAGTTAATTGGTATGACTGATGAAGACAAATTGAAATGGGGCAGCTGAATCAGCGGCTCGCATTTTAGGAAGGGCTGGGAGAGCTTAAAGCACTCTACTGCAGCCACAGCCGCCTACTGCAAGCCCACAACATACTCCAATCAAAGAAACAAACACACAAGTGTGTGTGTTTGTGTGTAGATCCGGACCTCGATAATAGTTGTTTTGATTTTTAAAAACATTTTACCCCTTTTCCTCCCCAATTTCGTGATATCCAATAGGTAGTTACAGTCTTGTCCCATCGCTGCAACTCCCGTACAGACTCGGGAGAGGCGAAGGTTGAGAGCCATGCGTCCTCCGAAACACGACCCTGCCAAGCCGCACTGCTTCTTGACAACACTGCTCGCTTAACCCGGAAGCCAGCCGCACCAATGTGTCGGAGGAAACACTGTACAGCTGGCGACTGAAGTCAGCATGCATGCGCCCAGCCCGCCACAAGGAGTCACTAGAGTGCGATAGAACAAGGACATCCCGGCCGGACAAACCCTCCCCTAACCCGGACGACACTGGGCCAATTGTGCGCCGCCTCATAGGTCTCCTGGTCGATGCCGGCTGCGACACAGCCTGGGATCGAACCGGGTCTGTAGTGATGCCTCAAGCACCGCAATGCAGTGCCTTAGACCGCTGCGCCACTCGGGAGGCTCTGTAAAAATAAAAACAAATAAAAATATATAATAATAATAACTAACTTACTGTTGCGAATTAGAATAGAAGAATACACTATGTGCACTTTCGAAAAATTGGTTGCAGCAGTTTTCCTCTTGTTATACAGTACCAGTCAAAAGTTTGGACACACCTACTCATTCAAGGGTTTTTCTTTATTTTTACTATTTTCAACATTGTAGAATAATAGTGAAGACATCAAAACTATGAAATAACACATATGGAATCATGTAGTAACCAAAAATGCGTTAAACAAATCTAAATATATTTGAGATTTGTGATTCTTCAAATAGCCACTCTTTGCCTTTATGACAGCTTTGCACACTCTGTACAGATTACCTTGTAGGTAAAACTGCTAACACCATGAAGGCATAACCAAAAATACACAGATTTTCAACACTATCCAGCTTTGTCCAGCATAGCTTCAACATGTTCTGGGCATCACTGTCCTTTCTCTGACCAAATGGGTAAACTAATGCAAAGTGCTGCTTAACCTGGGAAAAAAGTATTTGATCCCTTGCTGATTTTGTACGTTTGCACACTGACAAAGAAATGATCAGTCTATAATTTTAATGGTAGGTTTATTTGAACAGTAAGAGACAGAATAACAACAAAAAAATCCAGTAAAATGCATGTCAAAAATGTTATAAATTGATTTGCATTTTAATGAGGGAAATAAGTATTTGACCCCCTCTCAATCAGAAAGATTTCTGGCTCCCAGGTGTCTTTTATACAGGTAATGAGCTGAGATTAGGAGCACACTCTTAAAGGGAGTGCTCCTAATCTCAGTTTGTTACCTGTATAAAAGACACCTGTACACAGAAGCAATCAATCAATCAGATGGAATGGGCTACAAGACCATCGCCAAGCAGCTTGGTGAGAAGGTGACAACAGAAGTGGCTCAAGAAGAGGCACATTAAGTTTCCTGGAGTGGGCTAGCCAGTCTCCAGACCTTAATCCCATAGAAAATCTGTGGAGGGAGCTGAAGGTTCGAGTTGCCAAACGTCAGCCTCGAAACCTTAATGACTTGGAGAAGATCCGCAAGGAGGAGTGGGACAAAATCCCTCCTGAGATGTGTGCAAACCTGGTGGCCAACTACAAGAAACGTCTGACCTCTGTGATTGCCAACAAGGGTTTTGCCACCAAGTACTAAGTCATGTTTTGCAGAGGGGTCAAATACTTATTTCCCTCATTAAAATGCAAATCAATTGATAACATTTTTGACATGTGTTTTTCTGGATTTTTTTGTTGTTATTCTGTCTCTCACTATTCAAATAAACCTACCATTACAATTATAGACTGATCATGTCTTTGTCAGTGGGCAAACGTACAAAATCAGCAGGGGATCAAATACTTTTTTCCCTCACTGTATGTATGTATGCATGTATGTATCTATCTGTGATGGTGGATTCAGGGTCCTTTGAAATGGCTCTCCCTCAGTCTGGTAGTGGATGCAGATCAATTGAGGGAGTAAGGGAGGGGCTTAACACAGTTGCCACATCAAAGGGATTTGAATAACTGCATACTGTGGCCATTATTGAGTCGTATTTATATTTATTTATATTTGCTACAAAGCGAAGCAATGGCAGCATCGAGCATATTGAGGCTGGCCTTCGCTCCTTTTGAAATACACCGATTTGGGCTCAGGGCCACTGCTAGGCAATTTGGTAACAAAATAGACAGCTATTCACCGAATAAAGCTTTAATTAGAATATTACTTGTTTTTGTTCGTAGTGCCATTCAACTACAGATAGGATCGTATAATGAATTGAGAATTGAATTACAAAGCGAAGTCACAACAAACAGTAAAAAAAAAAAAAAAAATCCCGTCTCAATTCTAAGTCTTTCTCTGTGTATTGGGATGGTGATGTATGCCAATGTCCATTAAAAGTTACTGTGACTCTCGCTCCTCTAGAGGGAGTGTGGCAGACCAGACACTCTCTCCCTCTGATAAGTTTGTAACTTTGTTCATTAGTGCTGGCCTGTCTCCTGCTGCAGCCGGCTGTCTGTGGTGACACAGTCTCTGCCAGACCTCTCTCTCCCTCTCCCTCTCTCTCTCCGCCTCTCCTTCTCGCTCTCTCTCTCTGCACGTCTCCAAGCTGCTCTGTGAAATAATTTACCGCACGCCGCGCTCCTCCGTATGATTGAAGCGTAATTAGAGCGCTGAGACAGTGTGAGCCAATGACGGGGCACGGGACTGCGAGCTAGTCAGATGGTCCTTCTCACTTGTGCTGGTTTTGCCCTTCAAAAGTATCACTTTGGGGAAAGGAGGGTGAGAGGAGCACTGCCGCTATGGCGAGTTGATGCTGCAGCGCTGCTGCATGAGGCGTCTATGCAATTTATGCATTTAGAGAGATTAAGAGAGAGGAATATACATGTGTAGTGGAACCTAAAGAGGCTTTGTATCCTCCCACAGGCTCAGTGATACTGTCATACTGTCACTAGGGGAGAAACGTATAGTATAAAGCTAAAGGAGGAATGGGCTTTATAAGGAGACAAGAATATACATGAAGTATGCACAAAATATGTGCTGTTGTGTGTGTATCTGTATTGTGTATTCAAAGTGCGGCTGTGACAGGCAGACACATATGGAGCGGAGGAACTAGAAAGCATCTTTACTAGGCTACACCATAATCTCTATGACACCCCCAGTCTCGATGGCATCACACTACGCGTGGAGCCGGGAAATGTGCTGATTACTACTATCTTCTGACTGACACCATATACTTTATGAAAAACATAGTTCTCAAACAGCTCGCAATGTCTTGCTGAAATGGCATCATATTCAAGGTGGGATAACACAAACTGCAGAGAGAGATGGCTGCTGAACCTGCACCTGTATCCTCTAGTCCAGCCAATTATTATTTATTTCTGAATAGATTCCCACTGCCTGAGAAGAAGGCAAAAGTGACCTCAGCCTAAGGTGCAGAGCAGCTATGCTAAGCTAACCTAGCTATTCTCAGCCACAGCAACAACGGCGTCAGCCATCCGTTTGATTGAAGTCCAGAGGTCACCCTTCGTCTCGTTAAATTGTAAAGGGGTGTCAGTGCAGGAACTGTGTCAAAGAAATCACCCTTAAAGGATAATAGGGTAATAATGAAAATAATACTACCGCTGACTGCCCAGACCACCCACAGGGAGCTTCCTCACTGTTTGTATGAATATAAATGCAATATTTACATTTCCCCTGAGAGATAGGAACGTCAATCTCCGTTATTCGACGTTTAGTGGGCTTTTGCCCTGACCGAGGCCCAAACGTTACCGTAACGATTCCATGGGCCCTTAAATCTCCAAATGGCAAACAGAGATAGCTGCCTGCTGGGCCGGAGCTGAGCGTTTTTAGCATATTTTCCCCTCACTCTAATGTGGACAGGAAGTGAAGGGCAAGCGGAGGCAGAGAGGGTAAACAGCCCTGAGTTAGGGAGGGTAAACCTCGACCTGACTCCCTGTTCCTAAATATTACATGTCAATAACAACCTCAATAACACCCTCCACATTCAAATGAACCAGAGGCTCTTATTTTGGGCTTTTAAAAAAATGAGTTATTTTCTCCCGCGTTCCGATTTGCCTCTCTGCTATTACTGGAGAATAAACATGGTAATGTTTGTTAGCTCAGGAGGCAGTGAATTCAGATTGAATACAGGGTGAATCTAAATAGTCAAGGGAGTGTGATGTGTGAATATCCGTGTGTGTTGGGGATCCTATGGCTAAGCTGGGCTGGTTCAGGTAGCTTGGCGAGAGAGAGAAAGAGAGAGAGAAAGGGAGAGCTTTGTTTTCATCTCGGCAACCATAAGACAAACAAAGACAACGGTAGAGAGATAATTTCCATAAAGACTGGGTTGTTGTCTGAGAGGTAGCAGCTGTCAGGTGGAATTGCTTCTCCAACACAAACACCACAATCGAGGGCGCTCACCCCATAATTCAGTGTGATTGGCTCAAGGGGAAAATGGCACCCTGCGGAGAGTTGAGGAGGAGAGCTCTTTGACAGGTTTGCATCTGCGATGGGAGACGAGGACCGTTTCCTTGTTATCATTCTGTCTCTTTTAATGTCAGTCTTCGTGAGGGGAGAAAAAGCATTCCACACGCAGTGACACGGAGAATGAAGTCTTCAGCTAGGTGTGAGGGACCTCCCCCCCTCCCCCCTCCCCCCACTGAAGAACACACACACATACTCTCGCCCAAGCTGCTGCTTTGTAGGTGACTGACAGCGAGGGAGGTACAAGGAAGTGTCCTTCAGGTACCTTAATTATGGTTCTCATCCTCCCTCATGCTGTCACAGTCCCCAAGGGGGAGGAGGAAATAAAAGGAAGCCAATGTTTCACGTTTCCTTGGTATTACTAATTCAGAGGGGGGACATCCAGACAAAAGAAGGGGAAGGAAGACGAAATAAAGACCCATTTCTCCACCTTTCTCTTCCCTTCATCTCTTCTCACCCTTGCAGCCGTGTTTAAAATACGTAATCTTAATAAAAGCCTTTTAATGGCACTGCAGCGGGAAAAGAAGGTGCAACTTGATTACTCTGACGGTTTTATTTAACGAGCTCAAAGCCTCTGGCTCTGACTAGCAATTCCGTTTATTACTTTGTTGTGGGAGATCTACGTGACAAAATGGAGCCTTGGGACGTGGAGAATGAGGAGAATGAGCCCCAGCATGACCGTGTTCAGTCATCGGGGTGGCAGCAGTCGCCACAATGATTTACACCTGAAGGATGTGATGGTGATGCTCACCTGGGTTCCTGTTTGATGCCTCTGGGGCAACCGACTGGTGTTTCAAAGTCACAGCTACAGACCGGCCACGTTAATTATGGATGGGACTAAATTGTCCTCATTGAATGTATGGCAGGCGAACGAACACATGGTAGACGGGAGTGTGTGTGGCTGTGTGTTTGTGTGAGATAGAGACAAAGGCTGAGAGATAGAGAGAGACAGAGAGAAAGAGAGCAAGTAGAAGAGAGACTGAGTAGACAGAGATACAGAGAGTCAATAAAAACTAAACTACCCCTTAATGTCTCTCAGAAGTGGGATAAAAAGACAGAAGTAGAGAATGCCAGACCCTTAATTCATGTGGCCGGAAACATTCAAGAGTACGTTCACCCACACACACACAAACACTGTAAAAAGGCCAGCTGTTTTATATTGGGACAAAAGCCGACTCCTGGGAATGTTGACTGACAACAGAAAGCAATACAAAAAGGTTTTTAAATGAAATAGGGAAAGAGCATATTCCCTAATCTGTATTCTGTGTGTGTGGCCTCTTATAAATATTAGAGGGAGGACAGACACTTTGTGAAGCTAGGGAATGGATAAATTGTACATTTGAGGAGATCATCTCCCCTCTAGCTGATACTCCCATTATATTCCATCACAATAATGGGGGTATCATCTTCATCATAATTTCTAGCATCATTATCCTCACCATCATTATTGGAATTGTGAATAAAAATCGAAGTATCTCTCATCTTCATCATTACCACAGTTCTAATCAACACCAATGCCAGCAGCATCAGTAAAAGTAAAAAGTCTGATTAATGTTCAATTAAGCCTCTAGTTAACTGCCCTTATGGTATGGCCATTCACTCTCTCAAGCTGTGAAGTTCACTGGGGTCTCGTGTTCCAGTTCCTCTCATCTGCTTCCACTTTCACACAATCATATCAAAGAGCACATGACAGGCGCCTATGCCCACTGCAACCAAAGCACAGCCTAATTGACAGTGTCCACCACACGTGCACGCACACGCATGCACACACGGCATGGTGCTGTACTGTATATGGCCGCAGCCCTGCCCCTGTCACACACTGTGGAGTAGTTATGGAAGAGATGGGTGACAGTGCCATTGGAAACATAGAGCATATCTAAACTCCCCTTCTGCAGGCCTCCCACCATGTCCTACACATTACAGTCTGTATCTGGGTCTGTATCTGGATAGGGGCCAGACCATGCAACTGTAAAAGCCCATATTCAGTAATGAGCGAGCAGACCTTGTATATTTAAGCAATAAGGCCTGAGGAGGTGTGGTATATGGCCAATATACCACAGCTAAGGGCTGTTCTTAATCACGACACAATGCGGAGTGCCTGGATACAGCCCTTAGCCATGGTATATTGGCCATACAGTGAGGGGGAAAAGTATTTGATCCCCTGCTGATTTTGTACGTTTGCCACTGACAAAGAAATGATCAGTCTATAATTTTAATGGTAGGGTTATTTGAACAATGAGAGACAGAATAACAACAAAAAAATCCAGAAAAACGCATGTCAAAAATGTTATAAATTGATTTGCATTTTAATGAGGGAAATAAGTATTTGACACCCTCTCAATCAGAAAGATTTCTGGCTCCCAGGTGTCTTTTATACAGGTAACGATCTGAGATTAGGAGCACACTCTTAAAGGGAGTGCTCCTAATCTCAGCTTGTTACCTGTATAAAAGACACCTGTCCACAGAAGCAATCAATCATATTCCAAACTCTCCACCATGGCCAAGACCAAAGAGCTCTCCAAGGATGTCAGGGACAAGATTGTAGACCTACACAAGGCTGGAATGGGCTACAAGAGCATCGCCAAGCAGCTTGGTGAGAAGGTGACAACATTTGCCAACAAGGGTTTTGCCACCAAGTACTAAGTCATGTTTTGCAGAGGGGTCAAATACTTATTTCCCTCATTAAAATGCAAATCAATTTATAACATTTTTGACATGCGTTTTTCTGGATTTCTTTGTTGTTATTCAGTCTCTCACTGTTCAAATAAACCTACCATTAAAATTATAGACTGATCATGTCTTTGTCTGTGGGCAAACGTACAAAATCAGCAGGGGATCAAATACTTTTTTCCTTCACTGTATACCACAAACCCCTGAGGTGCCTTATTGCTATTATAAACTGGTTACCAAAGTAATTAGACCAGTAAATATCCATTTTTGTCATACCACGGCTTTCAGACAATCAGCATTCAGGGCTCGACCTACCCGGTTTATAATGTAGTGTATGTAATGGGTGTAAGTCATCGAAGGACTCTATAAAATGTGTTTATGGAGCAAAGCCATTCCACTAAGGGGGATGCCTGAGGAATGAGCTTGGCCTAGCGTTGGTGGGATTGACGCTAAGTTGCTAACAGTTCCTAACCTTGGCCATTTGAGCCTGGCCTAGACTATCATATAAAGTGGTGATGCTAACATGCTAACGCCTTAACTATATTAGCATATACTGTATAGCACCGATGCTAACGTGCTAACAGTTCTTACCTTGGCCATTTGAGCCTGGCCTAGACTATCATATAAAGTGGTGATGCTAACATGCTAACGCCTTAACTATATTAGCATATACTGTATAGCACCGATGCTAACGTGCTAACAGTTCTTACCTTGGCCATTTGAGCCTGCACCCCGGTGGCTTTGAGAGACGACACCGCCTTCTGTGCTGCAGCCGGGCTATCAAAGTCCACGAAGCCATATCCTGAAGGTAAAGAGAGAAGGAGAGAAGAAAATAATGATGGGAAATGCAGGTGGAGTTCTTAGACGGATAGAGAGAATGACATGGCTTGGTAATTGTAGCAGTAATAGGTGGGTAATATGACCACAGAGGCTGCCAGTTCTCATATCTTGTAAGCACTACATCGCTTAATAATTAGCGGCACTGACGTTCATATGGGGATGCTTAGGAATGTTAATTAGCAGCATACATGAACTGTTTAGCAATAACAAACCCAAGCCGGCGAGCCACTTGAATGAAGGAATCTACACTGGTATTTTAAAGTCCTACAGTAGCCTACATTATACAATGCTACATTTTTAAAGCACATTTTCCAGCAAAACTATACAAAGAATCACAACAATGCACAGATAAAGTATATACACAAACATGCCAATCATTTTTATTTTTATTTTAACCTGCCTATCGGTTCTTCTAATGAAAGGAATCCCCCTCAAAACAACGAACCCTTCAATCCCTTGATATTTGAAGTGATTGACGTTGGCCATCACGCTCCTCACAACAACAGCCCATTAGTACAGAGAGCCATTTCATTTCACAGGGTTTTTCATTTTCTCCCCGGCAAACAAATCTCTCAAAGGTTGACACCGTCGTACAAGAGCCTTCCCTTGTTTTTTGTGGGGGGTTTTTCCACTCTCCCACCCCCTCCGGAAATCCATCAGTGGTGAAAAGGCGAGAATGAAATCTGCAGCTGTGATTTATGAGTTATTGTGATCCCGACATTCCCGGGGATGTATCAGCGGAGGGGTCACGTCGGTGTTAATTAAAATTTGGTGCCAGATTAAAAGCAGTCAATGGTGGCCTCTGATCCACTGTTTCACAAGGAAAGTGTAATTAGAAAGGGATAATGGGGGGAGCTGGGCCGAGCTAGTGTGGCTGCCCTCTACACACTTTTTCACACACACACAGATGTGTGTGTCTGGAGTTTCCTGCATTCAATAGAGGTAAAGGAGCGTGAAATAATGGCAAACTCATAACCTGTGGCAGAACGGAATTGAGCTCATGTCTGATTAACAACATGGTGGTAAAATGAAGGAGAAGTGTTAATAAATGTTAATTAGGAAACACTACTGTAAGAGCTGGAGGTGAAATAAGGTTGAATTAAACCATATTGCCAAAACAGATCTAGTGGTTCTACTTAGCTGAGATGCAGTTAACCGGTCCATAAATATATTATTCAAGAGGTGAATGGTGAAGTATAAAAACAGAATATTTTCAGGACATCCCATCAAAGGAATGTTCATTGGAACAGGAACAGGAAGGGGATTTGAGAAAGAGACAGTTGACCTACATTCAGCATCGATAGGAGAGTACTGGTTCCTCAGAGCAGCGATTACCTGTACGGCACTGGAAAGTCACTGTGGTCGGCTCCATGCAGAGACCAAGTCCAAAAGGCCACGGCACTACGGCGCCACCTCAAACGATCAAATGACCCGTGAATACACAAACCATGACAGAGAGAGTTCAACTGAATCCAGTTGCAGGAGTCCGGAGAGGACAATGTAGGTCAGGACAAGAGAGTTCAATATGACAGACAGTGAAGCCCTCAATAACTGGAGTTACAGTATGCATGTCTAACTTGCTACAGTACAGGCAGTATTGTATTGGGAAGCCAAAAGCCAGGACTGTCTGGGTTCCTGCATACATACTGTATAGTCATCCCACAAGAGTCATTTGGCCAGTACAAAACACTCGCTCTCTCAAGATGCTGAGAAACAGATGCACCATTGAGAGCATCCTGTCGGGCTGTATCACCGCCTGGTATGGCAACCACAGGGCTCTCCAGAAGGTGGTGCAGTCTGCCCAACGCATCACCGGGGGCACACTGCCTGCCCTCCAGGACACCTACAGCACCCAATGTAACAGGAAGGCCAAAAAGATCATGTAGGACATCAACCACCCAGCCATGGCCTGTTCACCCCGCTATCATCAAGAAGGCGAGGTCAGTACAGGTGCATCAAAGCTGGGACAGAGAGACTGAAAAACAGCTTCCATCTCAAGGCCATCAGACTGTTAAATGTGACCCGTTACAGAAAGCTGGGCGTATTACGCACATCAATACTTCACAGGAGATGAATTTGATCTTAAAACATTTTATCAAAGGCAGAAATGCCTTCCTGAACATGTGAACTTTCATGTGCCTTAATAACAATAACAAACAATCTGTAAATATAAATAAAATATGAAATCACCAAGCTGTTTAGACAAGGAGAAAATACAGACTCTTGCCTAGCCATGATTGGTTGAGATAATGAGGGGGCTGGGACATTCACGAGAATGCCCTTTTCTCCTAAATGGGATTATACATTTATCAACTTTTAAAGCAGCATTACTTCCCCATGTTTCCTCCAACTACAGTGTATGATATGCCCTTTTGAAACTCTGAGTGTACTTTTATCCAATGTAAAAAACACAATTTCAAATCTTTGAACATGAGACTGAAAAGAGATGGTGGGTCACAAATAGACATCACTAGCTGGCCTCCACTCAGTACCCTGCCCTGAATTTAGTCACTGCCTCTAGCCGGCTACCACCCGGTTACTCAACCCTGCACCTTAGAGGCTGCTGCCCTATGTACATAGACATGGAATCACTGTTCACTTTAATAATGGAACACTGGTCACTTGAATAATGTTTACATACTGTTTTACTCAATTCATATGTATATACTGTATTCTAGTCAATCCCATCCTATTCAACTATTGCTGTACATTATACTATTCTATCCTACATATTCTACAGATATATCCACATACTGTCCAAAATGTCTATACATCCCATCACATATATATATATTTATACTCTGGACTCTGACATTGCTCATCCTAATATTTATATATTTCCTAATTCCATTCTTTTACTTTTAGATCTGTGTGTATTGTTGTGAATTGTTAGATATTACTACACTGCTGGAGCTGGGAACACAAGTATTTCGCTACACCTGCAATATCATCTGCTAAGTATGTGTATACGACCAATAAAATGTAATTTGATTTGATTTGAATACATCAGGGTCAGGAGACAACCTTTCACTCAGTTCAAGCGATCAAAAATAATATCACACACAAACTGCACATGCTCTCAAAACACTGTTGTTCAAAGGCAAGTATGAGGTGCAGTACAGTATTTCTAATGAGGGTGCTCTAGAATTACACCCAAGGAGATGGAATGGAGGAAGGCATCGCTTTGAAGTCTCAAACACATCCTGGCTGTACACAAACCAAAAAATCAATCTGTCCTTTAAAGCCGGCTCAACTTTTTTGAGAAGATGCACCATGTCTGATACACTGCGCAGATACCAAAATAAAATCGTTAGCAGAATAAAGAGAAACATGAACTGCCATATCGTATTTCCTGGGCCTGCTCTAACTGCTGCTGTCGAGATAAAGACAGAATTGTCAGTTAGGATAGTGTAGCCTAGAAGCGCCGCAGAGAGCAGCAAGAGCCCCAGGCCCCTATGGAATGCAATGCACTTTAGGCTACACCGCTAACGCTAAGCTACGTAGCTACAATATCCTGAGACCAGATAAGGGACTTATTACAATGCATGAATCAATCATGCATGCATCATTCGTGCATCAAATTATGTTAATCCTAATTACGTAGGGGGAAATTAGCATACTTTATCTGCATAACAGTCTGGATTGTTTGCCCCCCCCCCCCCCCCCCCCCCAATTTGATTTTCCCATTTTGATACAGAATTCCCATTTCCATATTCTGCTAGCTCTAAATATCCTGTTTTGCATTGCATACTACTTTATAATAATACCATCAGCAGGAATAATGGTTCAGTCACACATAGGCAGACTTGGCCCACCCTACTGTACCTCCTTGCCCGTCCAAATAAAATATTGAAATATTGATCATTTATTTGACCGAGATGCACGCCGAATGAAAGAGTATGGCATGTCATACTATTTCTGGCCAGACAGCATCAGATACATGGGCTACATACAGAGAGAGGGACGCTGTTTCGCTCGCTCGAAAGCTTTCACCGGTGATATAGTTTCAGCAGAGAGGAAGATGCGAAGCGAGAGGGCTCACTCTCGCCACAATCTGTCCAGTATAAACCCAATGCATTTCTATGGGAATAATATGCAGAACTAAGCTTGTCGCCTGCCTTACCGGCTTTGGGACAACAACTCCCATTGTTAGGGCGGAGACATGAGCATCTCGTCATTATATACAACTCTCTGGTTTCAGCCTCTTGCGAATTGGAAAGGAAAGTTGGCGGGTGCACAGTGCACTGTTAGGATGCTGGATTGCCCTAAAGTAAATTGATGTTTCGCCAAAATTATATAAATACTCCTGTCTAAATAAAATCATTCAAAATACTTCACCAGAGAGCATGACTTCTGCACAGAGGATCATTATGTCACGACTTTCGCCGAGGATCCTCCCCTCCTTGTTCGGGCAGGTTTCCGCGTTCGTCGTCACCGGCTTACTAGCTGCTGCCGATCCATTTATCATCACATTTATCATCACTTGTCTTGTCTAATTAATCACACACACTTGGTCCTTATCCCCAATTGTATAAGTGTTCCCTCTGCTTCCTTGTCTGTGTGGGTGATTGTTTGTTGTGAGCTGTGTGTAGCTCGGTTGAGCTACCCTTACCTTGTTGTTTGCCAGGGTAGATATTTCCCCTGTGCCTGAGTTTTGTTGTGGCATGCTTGCGCAACTGTTTATCGACGGAATAAACTTTTTGGATGCGTATTACTCTCCTGCGCCTGACTCCTTCTATCACATGCATCACAGAATCACCCACCTGCTATGGAGTCAGTGGGAGAAGAGCGCATGCCTGGAGTCGTGGCATGGGTCCAGGAGCACTCCACGATGCTGGCCAGCTTGGGGGAAGTGATGGATCGGGTTCTTCAGGTAGTCCAACGCCTTGAGAGGAGCAGACCCGATCTGTCGAGACCAGCTGGCCAATCGGATCCAGCCACCTACACCCCAGCACCAGGAGG